TAGTTTTCCGGGTTCTGTAATTGTTGCGCACATTTTTAATTTTATAGCGCTTATAGTTTTTTTAATTATTTCACAATATCATTTCCTGCTGAGGTAACGTTACCCCAGCCAGACCTTTTTCTTTCTAATGTGAATATTTAAATCATTACTAGCTATTAAATTAGTTATCTAGGTGAAGTAAATGTTGTTCCTTATTTTGTATTTATTCTTTTATCGGTTGCGAAGTTATTCGAGATTTTGCTGGGCGGCAGAGCGCTGGGTCCAATTGAAGTATTTTTCTATTTAATTAAATAACCTTAAAGCTATGTATTATTTTGTTTTTTTTTTATTGCAGAAGAATCCATGTACAAAAAATGATAAGAATACGCTTAACCATTACAAAGATCTAGCAAAACCAAAAACGTTACCCCAACAAAATCACGAATAACTTCGCAACCGATGAAAAAACAAATACAAAATGAGGCACAACATTTACTTCATTTAGGCAACTAATTTTATAGCTAGTAATTATTTTAATATTCCCATTAGAAAGAAAAAGGTCTGGCTGGGGTAACGTTACCCCAGCCGAAAATGTTTTTGTGAAATAAATAAAAAACTACAACATAAGATTGTAATGACCATTTTCAACAACATCTGGCCAGGGTAACGCACACGTACACCCAGCGGTGTACCCGTCTTCAATTATTGCATCCCTCGAATTGGATGTTGTCGCTACGACAGCAGAAGGTCCTGTGGAGCTCTCCTTTTGATGCGCTTAAAGGTGCTGGCAGACTTCATAAGCTCACTGGCTAGCCTGTTGGGGTGACTCCTTATGCGACGAGAATACGACTTCAGTTTGTTTGTGACTTCCTCTTTCACTGATACTACTATGGATGACAGAATAAAAAAATGTTTTACAATATTATCATCAACTAGCTACTTCCGCGCGGTTTCACACGCTCTGCTCAGCTCCTATTGGTAGCGTAGCGTGGTGTTTTACAGCCTATAGCCATCCTCGATAAATGCACTATCCAAAACAATAAGAATTATTCAAATTAGACTTGTAGTTACGGAGATTAGCGCGTTCAAACAAACAAACAAAAAAAACAAATTCTTCCGCTGTATATAATTGTATATGATTAACACAAATTAACTATAAACATTATTTTTAGTACATATCGCATAACTACGCGGACCAGTCGACGAGCGAGGACCCGCGTATGATGGCATTCTTCGACTCCCTCGTTCAAAGAGAGTTGGAGTGCTTGGGCGATGAGACGGACTCCCTCGACGGGTCCAGTTCTTGCCACTCCACACTAAATAATGATTCAGACTCATCTGATACTGACCAGATTATCTTGGATTTCCTGCCGTTACCACGGAAACGAGGTAAATAACATCATGCCTTCTATCTCAGGAGGGTTGGGCAGAGGTGCACATTGTACACTTAGTGCCACTGTACAATGTAACACGCACTTTTCACTATTTATGTTGAATCTCATGTAAAAGGGGGAGATCGTTTTGCCATATACTGGGCACAATTCCAGACTCCTTGCTGCTACTTAGTTTTTTTTAAAACCCTGTAATACTTTGCGCGACTCGGGAATCGAACCAGAGTCCAGCCGTCCAGTAGTCGCACTAGCGACAACTCCGCCAATGAATTTTAATATTTTTTATAGGATTGATGGTAAGCTCAAATTAAAAAAATATAATGTCTTTAAGTTTCGTGAACCTTTAGACATGTTAGTTAGCTTTCAGTCTGATCGACGACTTTACGAAGTTTTTACGGCAATTCTTGATATAATGACAGCGATGGCTTTAGAGTTTAGTTTGGCTTGGCACAAACAAAGGTGAGCCGGCACAAGTGGGTCACAGCGCTGGCCTTGCGCCGCGAGAGACCGACCCAGTCCACCATCCGAGGGAACGAACATCATTGTAGAGTAGAAGAATACAACAAATGTCAAATGTCAGACTGCACGGTTGGTGCGGTGGCTGGGCTACCGGCTGCCGTGCAACGTGTCGCGGGTTCAATTCCCGCACGGAACAACAGTTTGTGTGATCCACAAATTGTTGTTTCGGGTCATTGTGTATGTGAACTTGTATGTTTGTAAACGCACCCACGACACAGGAGAAAATCCTAATGTGAGGCAAAGTTTTATTAAAAAAAACAAAAAAAAATGTAATTGTATTAATAACACTCTGCCAACGTCATTCAGCCTAATTAATGATTGTATCAATTAGTGACAGCAAATCAGAATGGAAATCGCAGTCAACGTGTCCCCAACAGACTGGCGCGGCTAGTTGCACAGCGGTATCCGAAGAACTTACGCTCACAGAAGAGAGGATCCCTTAGGTACAGTCGCACAGTAACATACTTTACATTTATAAGGCCTAAGATTATGCCCTTTTTGGGAAATGTTGTCTTAACTGTTTTCAATGAAACAAAATGTTTCTATTATTAATATTTATTGAATAATAAAAGGTACAAACAATGTATGCCTTACAATTTAACGCCATGTCCAGCAAAACTATACATAAATAGTTTGACTGTCGGATCTTTTACATTTTGTTTTAAATTAATATTTAAACGGATATGGTAGAAGCTCAGGGAACATTATTGTTTACAAAAGATGTTGTTAGTTAATTTCACTAAAACTTATTTTAGTTGATGGATTGGAGTTTTTTCTCTCTAATATAAGAATTGTATGGTGTTGCAGGAGGAGTAAACCATCACGGGTGTCGTTGGACAAGCCCAGCAGTAAGTGTGTGAGCGGCGCCAGTGGCAAGGGCAAGCGCGCCGTCAGTCGCCGCGTGCGGGGCCCGCGCCGCCCCGCGCCGCGCGCCCTGCGCCCCGCCACGCACTCGCGCGTCTCTGCACCGTCCAGCGAACGGACCGACTCCGACGAACCCACGCACGGCATGTTCCGGAATAGTGGCAGGGTATGTACTACACTATGTGGCTAATAATATCTCATTATGTGTTATTTCAAAATGTATATTTGTCTTTTTCAGATGATCAGACCTCCCCTACGACGACGTGTAAACCTCACAAGAACTGCGAAAAGAAAAAACAAAGTCACTAGTTATAGAAAACCACTAAATTTAAGGAGTAATGGTAAATGCACAGAGTTATTACTTACGTTTTTGAATAAAATTTGTGCAACATTAACAAAAGTTATATTGGTATTCCTCTTTTCTAGGAGCAGCCATGGCACAAGACAGTAGTGATAATAATTTTTCTAACTTTGATAATTTTGATGACAATTTAGCTCAACCAAGCACTAGCACAGGTAAACCTTCTTTGTTTTTACAATAATCCCACGAAAATGAATCACAAAGTATTTACAAACGATAACCATTGTTTATCCAGGTTACAGGGGCCAAAGCACATCAGGACTATTTAGAATAGTGGAGGTAGACTCTGACGACGACCAGTCAGTGAGCAGCCGGCCGATATCTCCACGAAACCAGAATGGCAACCAAAGCATTCCGCCAAACCTCGTCAGCATTATACCTACACCTATCAATGGGTCGAGAGACACACTGGGAGAGTCACTACGAGTCGAACCTCCAGAGTCAGAAAGCAATAACTCATCACCTCCACCTCCTGAGCACAGGCGGATGAACCTACGACGAGTGCGACGGAATGGTCGGCTCAGCCTACACCGGTCAGATTCCAGCGAATCTCCACCTCCCAAGGAACCAGCAGATCGGGCTAGCACGTCGACCGCGGTAGAACAGCATTCGCCCAAAGTAGGATACAACAGGACTGTCGCGAGACTCATGAATGAAACCAATGAGAGTGAGTTGGAAAGTAGCTGTAGTACTGAGAGCTGTAGCATGTGGCCGGGGCCTGAAGCTTGCACCCCAGACAGTGGAGTAGGAACAGTAGCGGGCAGCAGTACCAGAAACCCACTACCCACAGACGACGTGTCCGACGACCCAGAGTATCAAGCCTTCAAATTCCGACAACGAGTGAAAAAGGCGCGGCGCAACTACAGAGAACACATGGACTCAGACTCTAACTGAACTGAATAGATACTTACACAAATTGTGTTCCATGATAATGTAGTGGTTCTTTAAGTGAACTATCTAATGACTGCATCTTATACCTACTATTATTCGTATGTACTACTAAGAACATTCATATTAGTTGGCATCCAATGGATACTGAAACAGTGTTATCTTGTTAGCCTTTTATCTTGATGTAACAATAGCTGAGGACAGAAGAAATCAAGTAGTCACTTTTTAATGTTTGTAGAGCTAAATTACTAAGCTGTAGCACGCTAAGGATTTGAGTAAGACTAGACAGCACAAATTCCTAATGTACCAACAAGATCTTGACGACAAATTAACTGAAGTGTTGTTCTGCATAAAATGGTTTTGCTTTGTATAGTTTTATTATTATTATTATGACGATATATGTGATCTAATTATTATTATCAAATAACTTAATCTAGTATTTAAGTACCATCAATGTTCCCCTAAAAAGGTTGTTAGCATAAATCCATGCAAAATATAAATACTTGAATTGTAATTTAGTTTTTTTTATTCTACCTCTGCCTTATTCAACTGCTAAAGAACTATCTATTGCTAGAATAACGTTCATGGATCTTTCGATTACAAGCGTGAAGTTATTAAGATTTATAGTAACGTGTTATCAGTTCTCATTTGGTTACTGAATAATGTATGCCAAAGTAACTGGTTAATCTTTTATGTCTTTTTACAGCGTCCATTTCAATGGATGTTTTTTCGTATTTGGTTTACTTTGGAAAAGGAAAACTAAATAATTCAGCTGAAGGTTCAAAGTGGCAAAAGATTGGCTTGGTCACATAACCAAGAGAGGAGTAGAGGTTTTTAGATGGTTTTATTTCACAAAACAACACTTCTGGGGATAAATCATTCAGTTTTGACTACTTCATTCAAAAGAAAACCGGTTTTTCTAGTGAGCTTTCCGCAGCACTATTCGAGTCAATGAACTTTTTATTTCCATAGTCGCTATATAATCTGTGCGCCAACTAAAGACAGCTCAGAATACATTTGGACATTAAAGTGACGTTTACCCAGCTGATTGTATTGAACGGGCAGGCAGGACAGGATATAACCTACTCGTCTCTTGAATTTTCGCTTACAACGGGTCTAAACGGTGAAGAATGGACGGAATAACGACTTACAATAATTTCTTAGCATTACATAAACCGCAGTTAGTTCTGTCTGGAGTTCCAGAACATTTTTGGCCATCAATATGCAAGAAAATTACAGACCAAATTTTTGATGCCGGTTTAACATTTCAACTGGTTCAAATAGATTATGAAGACACGGAAAAAATGCCCTACGATCCTTTATGGAGTGTAATTGCAATCCGGGATATCGAGTGCTCAGATGCTAGTCATATTTACTTGATTGACCACGCGTGGACTTTCAAGGCAAATAGTATTAAAAGTAGTCTAAGAAATGTGCCGGGGCTTTTGGAAAGAATGTGTAATATGATGCAAGTATCTGCAGAAACAACTGAGAATCAAATTGATGAAGTATCAAAAGCGGTGTGGAAGTATGCACACACTTATGCAATTGGTGGTGATGAATTTTCGATTGAAGAACGAGTTCCAGTGTGGTACGTCTTAGACGAATTGGGTTCTGGAATTACTCATTCAGACACGCCCAATTTCCGAGCAGTGCCTTTCATATATGTGCCTGAACAATTAACTTACACATTACTGTTTCCAGTAAAAGATGTTGAAGAAGGTGACATGGTCACCAGAAACTTTGTAGAGGGTCAGTTCCATGACCCCATGCAGAGAGAAGCAATGCTTATCCCATGGAAGCACTATGAACATTTTGGGGAAGATTTTGTTCAGGTGGAGCCAAGTACCAAATATTTTTTAGAGGGTCACATAGTGGAAACTCTTCCGGAGTTAGATTTGTTGAAAGTAAGAGAGATTAATGACACTACTAAGTTAAAAGTGTACTCAGAGTACAGATATATCAATGAACACCTCACAGCTCCCGAGTTTGAAATAGTGGACAATGAAAATGATGCTGATGTACTGTGGTACATTAACCATTTCAAAGAATTTCAAGATTTAAGTGTTCAATCGCCACACAAATTTGTTAATCAATTCCCATTTGAATATGTAATGACAATAAAAGATTTGCTAGCTGTAATTGCTAGGCGGTCTGCAGAAAAGTACTGTGATGAAAATAACTCCCTTGATACAAACCCAGTTTGGTTGCCTACAACCTTTAATATGAAAACTGAGCTGCCCAAGTTTGTTACATATTATATGCAGAGGAGGAAGGCTGGATTAGATAACCATTGGATATGTAAACCATACAACCTTGCAAGGGGTTTGGACACTTATATCAGTGACAATTTAGATTTCCTATGCCGATTACCTCTGACTGGTCCTAAAATTGCTCAGAAGTACATTGATAACCCTGTCCTCTTTGAAAGACCAGATGTTGGCCTGGTCAAGTTTGACATTCGCTATGTGATACTCTTGACTTCTGTTAGACCAACAGAGGTTTATGTTTACAATAATTTCTTCCTTCGATTTGCTAATAAACCATTCTCTTTGGACAGCTTTGAAGATTATGAAAAACACTTTACAGTAATGAATTACAGTGGTACTGCCCAGCTTTTTAAGATGTTATGTGCAGACTTCAAAGCTGAGTGGTCTAGGCAGTTTGCCAACTATGATTGGGCAGATGTTGAAAAATCAATATTCAAGATGTTATCAGAGTTATTTGATGCAGCTACATCAAAGGGGCCTCCTTGTGGAATAGGGAAGAGCCCACAATCCAAGGCATTGTATGCTGCAGATATTATGCTGAGTTGGCGTAACGTCGGAAATGAAAAGGTCATTCAACCCATCCTGTTGGAGATGAATTGGATGCCAGACTGTCGGCGCGCATGCGAATATTATCCCGACTTTTATAACGATATCTTTTCTGTAATGTTTTTGAATAAGGAAGTGGAGACCTGTACGAAAGTTATGTAAACTAAGCAAAGCTTTAAGCAATATTTACAAATGATTTACACATTCAGCCTTGATATGCATTTACCCATTTATTGTATTTACATTTTGTTACTCACATAATAAAACAATTGAAGCCTGACTTTTGAAACTTTATTTAACATCTTATTCATTACGTTATGGAATAATTAAATTAACATAACATTATTTAAGTGAAATAAAATTAATATAATACATCTAATTGGGTTTATTATATATCACTTTTTAAATTGCTTGATTTAGAGAATAAATATGAGGTATCAGTTTTTCTGTAGTACCCTCTGGTTATCATCCTGGATAAAAGCGAAGGGGTTTTCATCATCGACGTCTCTGCGGCTGAGTAGCACTAGGACTACTATTATTGCTATCAGAACGAACAGCATGATCCAATAACGTCTATAGATGCCTCCGGCTCTTCGCACTCGAGAAGATGGGAGCGAGTTCCTGTTAGAAGGAAACATTTTTAATATTGTTTGATAAAAAACAATAAAGAATCTGGGAACTAGATGATCTAGGGTAGAAGGCTAACCCAAGCAACTTTCGGCGCGCCCTCACACCCGGGTGACAGATGTAAGGAGGCGCCGAAAGCCGCTGACGTGAAATAAAACCTATTTTCAAGATCTGGCTAGAACATTGGTTGCAAATGCACTAAAAACCTCCCGTAAAAAACCTTACTCTTATAGTTTATTTATACAAAATAATATGTACATAGTACTTACTTCCACCATCTACTGATCCAGGCGAATGTAGATTTCTGCTTGTACTTATTTTCATCATGGTCGTAGTTTGTAGTCAGTTTCAATGGTTCGTTTGTTTTGATACTTTTCCTTGGAGCTTGACCACCTAGAATTAAAATATCAAATTATGAATGCATGTGCGACTACTGAATACACAGGGCACACAAACAAAACAGGTACTTGTAATTAACATTTATTTTGTTTATATTAAAATATGAATATGAGCCTCCAAGTCATGCGGCTTGAAACTAGTTGAGTTCCTCGTCAAACAATTACGTGAGTAAGTCGAAAACATTATAATTTAATCACATTTATTTATAGGATATTCACATTTATTGGACATTATTTACATACATATAATAAAAATTCGTAACTCCGCAAAAACTAAAAGCCACACAGGCTTTTTATTTTCATCGCCAAATACACTCAAAAAGTAAACATTTTGACTACACACCTTGTAAACTGTCAGTCCTCTTTAGTGAAGAGCTGTCATAAATGTTGACTGGTTCGTCAGATATCTGGACGATGGAATGTGGCGTGCCGTTGGCAGACCGGCCGGTAGACTCGTCATCACTAGCTCCCACTGGCGTGCCTCGAGGGTTGTCTACTGTGCTGGTATAGAACGGTGAATGATGGTCAATGGGGGATTGGGACCGACGTCCAGCTGCGCCTTTCATGTCTTGGTCTTCTGAGAGCTGTGAAGAAGAAAATAAGACAGTTTTAATTTGGCAGCTTTAATAGATTGTTTTCAGATAAACTAATGATAATCATGCGACGATCACGCACCGACTCTGTCAGGAACTATAAAGCGCCAACTATGCAATTCTTACATATTAGCTTTCACTACATGCATACATAATTATACACACATATGCAACTCAGGACTCGGGTTTGATTCCCGGGTCGGGTAAAGTATTACTGGGCTTTATCAAAATATCTCAGTAGTAGCATGAAGTCTGGAATTGCGCCCGGTATATTATGGCAATAGGCTCACCCCCTATTACATGGGACTCGCAACATAAATAGTGAAAAGAGGGTGTTACATTGTGCAGTGGCATTAAGTGCCGTAATGTGCACCTCTGCCTACCCCTTCGGGGTTAAAAGGCGTGATGTTATGTTATTCCGACAAGTAATAACTAGCACATAAAACGAAAAAATTATAACGATGTATTTCCATACATTTTCCGGATTTTCAATTTCGTAAATTACTTCACTACATGACATATTGAGTTGCAAATATAATATTTAGGATGACCCTTGCTTCCTGATATTGCTCCTTACATAATGCCTTCATGTTTAATCATCCTTTCATTTATTATCCTAACATAAACCACACATAACTTCTTAAAGTATTGCCATAAAAAATGTATTTGTACTAACCAGAGGCAGACCCAAGCCAGCTCTGGCCCAGTTGACTCCAGCCAACTTTTCTCGGAGCTCATCAGCGACAGGGGAGACTAGGTTGGATGGGGGAAACACAGGTGTTGCACATGACGGGCACTGATAGCCTGCTGGTGCAGTAGTGCGAGGCAAAGCCCTATATTTAGCCTCAGCGCATGCCCAGTGAAATACATCTGGAAGATTAAAGAATGTTAATATTATTAACTAGCTACTTCGGCACGGTTTCACACGCTCTGCTCAGCTCCTATTGGTTGAAGCATGATGTTTTATAGCCTGTAGCCATCCTTGATAAATGCACTATCCAACACAAAAAGAATTATTCAAATCAGACTTGTAGTTACGGAGATTAGCGCGTTCAAACAAACAAACTCTTCCGCTTTATATAATAGTATAAGAAATATAAGATAATAGTAAATTGAAATATTTTTATGCTTAAGCTATGGTTAGAGAGAAAATCATTTAATGGGATGAAGTGCACTATATTGTACTTATGGATTGATAATAAAACCTTCCTTTTGTATAGAAAAATGTCACTATTATGTTGTGCATATTATTTATCCTTTAGTTTCAAACAATAGTTCATTGTACAATGTATGTAACACATAAACATACTGTCATTTCAACATAATTATTACCACCATAGATTCTGTGATTTTTTTGTTTATTTTGTTCAACTAACAAGATCACTTATTTAATTTTGTTTTATTGAATAAGTATTTTACAAATTCTGAATGTTTTGTTATATAATAAAACAAATATAGTAATGGTTTGTTTATTTTATACTCTAAAAGTCACTCCTAACTATTTAATTTCATGTAAATGGAGAATAAAGTAATAAAAGTTATTTTTATTTCAAAAAAATTCCTAATTGTGGTTTAAGTACTGATAACTAGCTACTAAAGAGTACATAAGGTTATAGATCCTAATAGATGATTATTTAATCTTATCCAATCTTGTATCTTAAAACATATATTTTCTATTAAATTAGTTTATAGTTAACAATACATGTCACTTCACTTGATACTTACGATAACAAGTAAGTCGAATACACTCGCCCTCACTGAGAGATTTTGTGCAAATTTCACATATGGGATTGTAGTCACTGTCTTGTAACCATTGCAAATATGACTGTATAATACACTAGAAGAGAGAAATATAAACCATATATTAACATATTAAGTACTTTCACTTCAATGAAACATGATAAACTGAAAATTACCTTCGGGTGACTCGTCACCATACAATATTCACAAACATTAACTCTGTGCTCGAAACAAAACTGATTCGTAACTCTTCTTTTTGGACATTTACACAGCCCCATTGTTACTTAGTAATAGAATTAAACCAAGCTTTAATTTAAATTACAAGTTATAAATGAAAAACAGTTTTTATACAGAGAAATTCTGTATGAACAATCGAAGACAAACAAAAGTGGCAGTGGGGATGCAGGCAGGTCAGTCAGCCACGTAAAACAACTGTCAAAATTAGCGTTGCGTTCATAACAAGTCAAATATTTTGTACTATGTGATTCGATTAAATTAGAATTACGATTTATGTTCGATTCATTTATCGAGATTTGAGACAGATTTGTAATAAATTAAATTACTAGCAGCTGTAAAAGGTATATGTATTGGTTACTATACCATTAATTTTCTAGACACAAAATCATAATAAAGAATCTTATCACATCACTATTCAAAGTCAACAAATGAAAGTGTTTCTGTCAAAAAGTCAAAAGTCTGTCATTATGAAATGAGTGCATTATTTATTGACTAAATTATTTTAAATTCTTCGGTCTTCCAATAAATAAAAGAAACAGACGTTGTTCTGTTTCAAAATGTCTACTAAAATATTAACTCTGTGTAATATTATAAGTCGACCTGTTAACGTTCTGCTGAAGCAAAACAATGTTACACCTAACCTTAAAACTAATTTCAGCACTACTTCTGTAGCTGGTATAAGCTTCTTCAATAAGTGTAAGTTCACTAATACCCAAGTAATAAGAAGTCACTAAAATATCGTAATCGCTCCTAAGAAGTAACTCTTTGGTTTAAAGATTCATAGTTCGACTTCTTTATTTTTAGTACCAGCAGAGAAGTTATGGAAGTCGGTGACGTCTGTAAGTAATGCTGGTGCTAAAAAGGGTCGTGGTAGAGGAACGGGTCGCATCCGGATCCGTGACTTGAACCGCGGTCAGGTAATCGGAGTTGGCAAGGTCAATATGCTGTGGCCTGGTCTGTCTGCACCTGTCATCAGGGGTAGAGAACTGTTAAAGCAACAGAGATTACCCGATGACCAGGAAAGGTAAAGTATTCATCATTTTTAGGAATTTGGAAACTATAAAAAAGTCTAATATTTGATTCCAATTTTGATTCATAGGTCTATGATGTGTATATCACTGAAGTCCCTTACAATCTGTTAGGATAATGTTACAATTTTTCAAATAAGACCTTTTACTTGTTGAGTTGAAAAATAATCAGTTTAAAATGTTATGTAATAAATAATGCCATTTTTTACGTTATTTCAGACTTGAGAAGCTGACTAAGATCAGAGATTCAATGACAAAGTTTAGAAGACTAAGATTGAATCCCATAGAAAGAGGTTGGTCAGGTTCTAAGTTGCCTGGACGCAGTCTGGGACCCCCTGATCCAATTGGAGAAGGTACTTATTACTAAATTTATTAAAAAAAAATAGCTTTTACCCACCTCTTTGTCCACATATTCCTGTTTTATCCCATGGAACCATTTAATCGAGATAAAAAGTATCCTATCACCTACATCAGCCCATACCCTGCTTGTGTCTGTGTACCAAATTTCATCAAAATCCATTCAGTAGTTTCAGCATTATTGACGGACAAACATCCAAACGCAGAAACTTTCCCATTTTTAGTATTAGTGTGACAGTGTTTTGATTTTAGAGGCCCTATATTGTTACCTTTCATGTTATTTTGTAGATGAATTCACTGGATTTGATACCAAAGTCTTGCAGCTGAGGTCTCTGCTCATTATGAAAGGCAGTCTTGGACGTACAAGAAACTTTCAAGCTATGGTGAGCATAGTAGCATTAAAACCTATTTGCTTATGAACTTTTTTGTCTATGATACTTTTTTTTCTTTTAGGTTGTAACAGGAAATGGACAAGGCTTAGCTGGGTTTGGTTTAGGCAGAGCCAAAGAGGCTCCAGCTGCACTTAGGAAAGCTAAGAACAGGGCAGGTCAGAAGCTGATGCACTTTGAAATCTACAATGGACACACAAGTATGGATTTTTCTATAAAATCATAATACAAATACAGAAAATTGAATCTTATTTTTATTTTATTTTTTTCTTTTCAGTTTACCATGACTTCTTCACAGCTTTTGGTAAAACTAAGATATTTGTCCAGAAAAAGAATGAAGGGTATGGCTTGATGTGCCACAGAGCTATCAAGGAAATCTGCCAAGCTATTGGCATTAAGGACTTGAGGGCCAAAGTTGAGGGGTCTAACAACCTGCAGCATATTGTTAAAGCATTCTTCATTGGCCTTTTGCAACAGGTACCCATACAATCATGATCATTGACAATACACATAATTTAATATGTCCTCTCCATTTTGAATAAACTTTATCTCCATCTTTTCAGAGAACACATCAAGAGTTGGCTGAAGAGAAGAAATTGCATTTAGTTGAATACAGAGATGAGAATGAGAGCTTCCCTAAAGTAGTGGCCAGTCCCTCTGAAGTGAGGACAAAGAACCAGATCCAGAAAAATGAGACCCTGGACTTCACACAGTATGTCATGAACGACAAAGTCATTCTTAAGAAGAGGAAGTTCCCTCGCTTCTACGAGACTATGCCTCATTACAAGGTATATCTTAAGAAGTATGAGAAGTACAGAAACCATGAGAAAATCCGTCTTAACTTGAAGGCAGAGTATGGAGAAGTAAAGAGCTTCCTCACCGACAAATACCCAGAAAAAGTGGAACAAGAAGCTTAGATCTAGACACAAGTGTTATGTAATATAGTTTGTTAGTTCATAAATAAAAGAAATATTGCAATCATATCATTTAATTATTTAATATTGATTTATTATCTCTTTGTTTGAATAAAAACAATATGGAGTCTTACTACTCTATCAGATATCAAGGAATCACGCGTAAAAATGAAATAAGCTTTCTACTTGAGTAAATAATAGCATAAACCTTCCACCGTCACAATATGTACTACCTCCTGACTTTCCTCGCGGCGGTTTGATGATATTTACTCAGTAAAGTCTAGCGTCAGGCGATTTGTTTGAAGTAAATTCTCCACAATTTTGCAATACTATTGAATAAAAAATAAATTGAAAATCCCCAATGTCATTATATAATAAATCTATTTACAAACATTCCGAATAGGAGCTCGGTATAATGAAAGTAAGTAATATTATAATATCTAATGTTTATAAATTCACATTATCTGTCATGGCACCCAAACTTCCGTACAGTGATTATTTATAAAAATCTAAAGGAGCCGCTAAATGCTCTAAAATGCTAGACTGTTCAACTCGAGCACCACAGTCTTCAACTCTTCATAGGTAGGTGTTATATTATCATGCTGGCGAACAAAGTTGCAGTGGAGGTAACATTTTTAACTTTATGATAGTCTTTGTAAAAAATGATCCATCCAGCCCAACTATCATCCTTCCGTTAGATATAGGAATACAGGGTATCTATAGACAATGCTCTGCTAATTGAATTACAATTTTAAAATTCGTTTCATAGTACAGATTTTCAACGAGGAACGAAAATGCATGTACACAAATATCAACTAAAACTAAATCTACCATAACATTATGAGTTATAAAGTCAGCGCTATTATTTATATATTTGCAACAGTGTCCTGTCGAATATATAAAATAATTTAAATTTAATATCAGAAACGAGAAAGAACAGTTTTGTACCTCGCTTAAGAAAATTTATAACTTTGTATAAAAATACATCACATTTTAGAATCACTACGCGAGCTATTTTCAATCGCTTTTCGATGAGCACACGTTTTGAAATCGCGTATAATATAAAAAATATCGTGTGTCCATCGGTCTATACCAATAGAGGCAAGTACCTGTTTCTAGCCGCTTCCCTACTGATCAACGCCAAGAACCTTACATCTAGAGTTACACTAATAGCATATTTCGATGAACTAAATGTGAACGTAATGGCAGTCGACGGACGAGCCTCGTGGTGAGCTGAGCAGGAGACGGAGCGGGTTGCACTAACCATTATTTACGTATTATGAAACGGCGATCTTGAGCGTATGACTTGGATATGTATTTTTATATTGATTTCCACAGCCAACCACACGATTAAAGCATGAAAAGGAAACTACAAAATATAGGTACTATCAAATATAATTATTATATAGTGTGGCTGACTCAACAAGCGACATTGTATCAAAAATATACTAAATCTAAATTGTTTTATTATCGAGGAATGTAAAGGTTCTACGCTAACGAAGAGACGTCAAATTTCAACTTTAGTGCAATCCGCCCTCACAATATTATACACAAGAATAAATTGTTAGAGAGATCATTGTTGATTACGGGATCTACTTAGTCTATACAATCTGAAACAAGAAAAACATTATATTAGAAATGTGGAAAAAGGAACCTGGAATAGTGGTAGTTGTATGGAAATAAACTAGTTAAACATGTAGACTTATCAAGGTTATTTGATCGTAAGCAAAGCAGGTTAAGATAATAGCTAGCCATACGCATGGATCTGCCTGGCGGATGTCAAACTGTCAAATGTGGCGGGCACATCTGAAGCACCCACACAAGCACGGTTAGAGCTCGGGTTTGACCGCCCCGTGACCGGACTGTGCGTTTTGAGTGATATTTTCCGCCACACACATAGATTTACCCATCAGGTACATGTTCAAGCAGATCCGTGCGTGTTTGGTGCGTCACTGCAAAGGTGCCCACTGAAAATCAGTGCTGGGTGACTCGTGTGCCTAGCTTACACTGTGTGGGTAACCTATTTAGCATAGGCATGTTGGTCGCGTTTTTTTCTGATTCTTCTGTTTTAATATTTTTTACTCACTGTTAATTTTACTTCCACCGTCACACTATCTTTTATTATCTTTTTTATATTATCTTATACATATTGTGTTATAGGATAGAGTAGTAGATATAGTTTTAGTGTTAAGTTGATGTTATTAACTTGGGTATTGTTAATTTATTATTTTTAATTCGATGTTAAAAATGGTTAAGTTAATTGTGTAAATGTAAATATCTTATAAAGTGCCACACTAACGCATTAATGCATATAATGTAATTCCCTGTAATGTTAGCTGTAAGAGTTGAAATAAATAAATAATATTTTGTTTATGTTGCATCGTGGCTGGTGCTAAATAAATTATTTTTGTTTTCTTTCTAGGTATAGCTGCAGATAGATGAGTTACCGTGCGGGTTGTCGGGCGGGTGCGCGCGCCACTTGTCGGCGTGGTGGCGCGAGTGGTCGGGCGCGAGCGAGGCGCGCACGCCGCCCAGCACGTCGGCGACGCCGGCGGCCGCCAGCGCCAGCGGGGCCACGGCCGCGCCCGGCAGGTGCCGCAGCACGCCCACGCCATTAGACCAGCGCGCCGCTGCTGCCATCGTCGCTGCTGTGTCTTCGAAACCCTGCCACATAGCAATTATGTTACCATTATTCAATTCCAATCAGTACTTTCGGAGATTAGCGCGTTCAAACAAACAAATAAAAAAACAAACTCTACAGCTTTATAATATTAGTATAGATAAAAAAGGTGAAAACACAAAAAATACTCCAAATTTAAAGATTTAAATTAGTAGTCCTTTTTGTCTGTCTGCATAAAAACTATATGTATTAAAAACATAGTTATATACGCTTGATTGAGTAGATTGGTGACTGAAAATCGAAGACACTGAAAATATTTTGACTGTCAACACTCAATTGAGCGCCGACTAAAGTCATTTCAAACTATTACACCACCAAGCATAGAGACTATGGTAAATGGTAAACCTCTTTTATCTAATTGTCTTCCGACATTTTTGATACCGTCTTTCAAGTGATTAAGTTATTGTCCAACAGTGCTTTGTCTATCACTAGCATTTGCTCGCGGCTTCGCACGCATTTCATTTGGCGTTATAATTATAAACCTTCTTGAATCAGTCGATCTATTAGCATACAAACACTCAAACAGTGAAAATTGACTTTGTTTTATATAGTACTAGCGACCTGCTCCGGCTTCACACGGGTGCAATTAAAAACCTCTAAATTTATCAGTGTTTCTCTACTATATTATGCATGTATTATACATATAAACCTATCTGAAGAATCACTATCTATTAAAAAAGAACCGCATCAAAATCCGTTGTGCAGTTTTAAAGATCTAAGCGTACATAGGGACAGACAGACGGTGGATAGCGACTTTGTTTTATACTATGTAGTGATGTAGTGAGTGATAAGTAATGTAAGTGTAATACGCACCTCCCTCACAGTCTGGTAGGCACTAGCGACGCCCTCCCTGATGTCGGCGGGGTGCCGCGCGGGGTCGTGCCTGCGCCGGCGCCGCCGCTCGCGCCGCGCGTACGCCTCCTGCAGCTGCAGCGTCGGACCCGGCGTCAGCAAGTCGAACGCTGTCTCGGCCGTAGCCTGCTTGGCAAAATAGATATAAATGTCACTATAACTGTGATAGGCGATGGTTATAGGTATTAGTAAAGTACAGTAAAGGTAAAGGTTTGGGTTGATTGTATTATTGTATGTATTGTTAGAATACGGAAGTAGGTATTCAGTACTGTAAATGCTGATTTTTACGGTTGGTAAAATTCATAATTCAGTTCTTATATTTTCTTAAAAAATAATAAAGATAAATTTAATTTAACAATATTGAATGATTTAGTATATGTTTTTAGGACCATGTGGCAAACTAACAGACGAATTATTTGACGTTCCAACACAGTAGGACTTTGAAATTCGTAAAATCGGTCCGGCTATTCTCACGTGATGCCTTAACCAAGGGAAAAAGAGATTAATTTTTATATATATAGACTAGCTTCTGCCTGCGATTTCGTACGCGCAATTCCGTTTTCTCCCGTTCCGAGTGTACACACGGCCACAAATCAATCTATACAAAACCAGTTTGTCCTGGTGTCGCGTCGCATCATCTTTCCGCAAATTTAACGTTCAGTTTATACTGGTTATGTAAAGCTCGACGTGTAGCCGTGTGTACAATCACAAAAAAAAGATCAACCAAATCGGTGTAGCCGTTCTCAAGTAATGGCGTGACAACGGGGAACGGGTTTAATTAGTATAGAGGTATATATAGATATACGCAGAGACCTGTATGAGTTTGAGCAGGCGCGTGGTGATGTCGAGCGCGGCGAGCGCGGTGTGCGCGGTGAAGGAGGCGGCCCCGCGCCGCAGCCCGTGCGCCACGCGCCCGTCGCGCCGCCACTGCTCGTACGGCAGCCACACCAGGTCCTTCATGCCCGCCACTGGGACACGGACATTACTTACACTGGTTGCACTCGCACTTCGTTCATTTTTAACAACAAAATTTGTTCATGCACAAGTAATCTCTATATATCAGAAATAAGGTCTATAATGAAATGAGTGAGAAGAGTCACCGATCCCTCTTGGGAATATACACATTAACTACAAAACAATACACAATATAATAATTAGTTTCAAAATTATTCTTCTATATTTCTTTTTAAAAAAACCTTGCCCCACACTAGATGTTCTACAGTGTCACGGATGCGTTTACAAACATACAATATCACATCCACACTACACCCAGACCCGAAACAATAATTTGTGGATCACACAGAGTTGCTCCATGCGGGAATCGAACCCGCTACACGTTGCACGGCAGCCGGTTGCCGAACCACTGCGCCAATCGTGCAGTGCACTCTCCCTCGCCCAACAATAAGTCACCATTTTTTCTTTAAAAAATTAGTACTCTGTCTAAAAAACTACTATGCATATAAACCTTCCCCTTGAATCACTCAATCTTTAAAAAAACGCATCAAAAACGAGTTTAATTCAAATTATATGAGCTCGTTCTTCTCCGTAGGAATCTACACCTTGGAACGAACAAATAGCTTCACTAGGACTGTGAGGACTTATTATTTAATATTTAAATATTTTGTTTTGACGTTCAAAAGTGCCTTCCTTGTCTAATTGAAATAAATGATTTTGACTTTGACTTTGATTATTCAATTTCAACCAGTAGTTTCGGAGATTAACGAATACAAACAAAAAAAACAAACTCAGTTCAGTATAGTTACTTACCAAATTGCAGGACTGAATGCATAGGTCCAATGCCACCGATCAGTCCGGGCAGTTGATGGCGTTTGATATCATTCATCCACTCCGTGGTGGCATATTGTATTAACTTTTCTATACCCAGAAGACCCAATCTGGAACACAATGAAAAACAGAATGACTTAATTTTTAACGGCACAGAAAGACTCACAAGATCTATTGAAATTAAAAAACTTGACTAATGTTCAACATAACATAACATCACGCCTTTTATCCCCGAAGGGGTGGGCACAGGTGCACATTACGGCACTGTACAATGTAACACCCTACCACACTTTTCACTATTTATGTTATGAGTCCCATGTAATAGGGGGTGAGCCTATTGCCATATACCGGTTACAATTCCAGACTCCGTGCTACTACTGAGATTTTTTTAAAAACCCAGTAATACTTTGACCGACCCAGGAATCGAACCCGAGACCCCTTGCCCGGCAGTCGCACTTGCGACCGCTCGGCCAACGAGGCAGTTGAGTTTAACATATAACAGTTTAAAACATACTTAAATTCAAGTTTCTTGAGGAGAAGTTCAGAGCAGTTGAGTTGTGCTAGACCCATGAGCAAGCCGGCGATAGGTCCGGCAGACAGGTCCACTCGCTTGCCCACGTAGTCTAACCGAATTGGTACATCGCACTTGAATACAAAACGTCTAGAACAAAAGGTACAATTGAGAACATTTTTCTTTTCTGCTGTCGGTTTAAAATGGTTTTAATAAACGTTGCCCCACACTAGGATTTTCTCCTGTGTCGTGGGTGCGTTTACAAACATACAAGTTCACATATACATGACACCCAGACCCAGAACATCTGTGGATCACACAAAGAATTGTTCCGTGCGGGAATCGAACCCGGCAAACGTTATGCGGTAACCCGTTGCCCGGCCACTGTGCCAACCGTGTAATCAACGTGCAAAATAAATAAATCTTTATTCATAATAACAATGGCAAACATAGGTAAAAAAATATCTTGTTAAGCGACAAGATCCTAAAAACTAATAATATGCCTATAGACTATTATGTTTTCGGCTTACTCACGTAATTATTTGACGAGGAACTCGACTAGTTTCAAGCCATGCTAGAGGCTCATATTCATGAGCAGCATTTCGCGAGCTGCGACTTGAATTCCTCGTCAAATAATTACGTGAGTAAGCCTAAAACATAATTACGCTAATTCCTTATTGGACGAAGAACATGGTAGGCTTCAATGCACTGTGTCGAGCTATTAAAGTATTACAAACCGGAAGTATATCGGTGAATCGTCAAAATGCTCAGTGCCAGCCGAGGTTTTCGCTTGAGGTTTCTCCTGTACGCCGAGCTTGTTGAAGTCTTCCTCCAGCTGGATGAGGTTCTCAGAGACCAGTCGCTCCGCCTCGTACTTCTCCATTAGCGGTTCATCGTTGCGGAATACTAGAAATGAAGGTTTGAGGCTCAAAAAGTGCTGAATTTAAATATATTTTTATTTTTTGTTATTAGTACAACTGGATTCTTTGCAAAATGATTTCTTAGTTATCGATGTAATAGGATCACTGTCTAAAATATCACAAAAAATTCTAATAGATTAAGATGCCGTACGGCGTTTATCGCGCAATACTGTTCAAAATTATGAGCCCCCAGCGTAGCTGAAACTGGTCGAGTAAATATAATTACTGTAAGAAAAATGTGTTTTAGACAAATTTATAGGTTTTTTAACGTATATAAAAAATTGTAAACTAGTTTTTCACAACTTATTAAAAAATTATCCAGAAAAATAATTAAATGAAATCTTTTTTGTTACTTACTAGGCTCATGAAGAGAGTCAGTGTCTCCAGAGTAGGAAGGCGTAGGAGGGGGGTCGCGAAGATCCCTGCCGAGGGTCATGACAGGAGGGCGGTGGGTCGGCGTCGTCTGACGGGAACCACTCGAGTCTGTAGATAATCCTCCCACGCTTTTAGAGTCTTCATCTGTGGAAAAAAATTATAAGTGTTTTATACTTAGAAATGACGTAGCTAGCTTCCACTCTTAAACTTTGATTCGTTTTGTCTAAGTACTGTTTTTAACATAAAATTCCTCCTTTTATTCCCGAAGGTGTAGGCAGAGGTGTAGGTACATTACAGCACAACGCCACCGTACAATATATCATCCACTTTTCACTACTTATGTTGAATCTCATGTAATAGGGGGAGATCCTTTTGCCATATACCGGGCACAATTCCAGACGCCGTGGGACTACTGAGAATTTTAATTAAAAAAAAACGCAGTAATACTTTGCCTGTCCCGGGAATTGAACCCGAGACCCCTTGCCCGGTAGTTTTGCACTTGCGACCACTCGGCCAACGAAGCAGTACTGTTTTCTTATATGACAAAATAAAAGAATACGTGTCTAATATTTTTTCACTAACTAACCGACGACGGACTAAATAGATTTTCAGGCCCGTTATCACTTCTATTCTACTTACCTTGATACTCATCTGAGCCGAGTTTGTTGACGAAGGCGGCGAGGAAATTTAAAGTATCTTGGTCGAGGTTGAACCATAGAGGTAAAACGGACACCACCACGCAACACTCCTGAGCTGATAACTCAGGGTCCGGCCGACGATGCACGCATTTTATATAAAACTGTTAGAGAAGAATATTTGTTTTACAATTACTTGTAATGTACTTTATTTAAGACGTTTTAGAGTTGGTAATAGCGCCTTAAATGTTAAATTTGTAAAGGTTAACAACAATCTTAGTAAACTATATTTTTTATTTTCAAACTTAAAAATAACATCCTTTAAAAGTTACTTATACTCATTTGATAGTAGTTTCGAGTACCTGGACTTTTATTATTGTTAAAGGCTTAGAAGAAAGAAACAGAAGACAATTCTGCGACTTAACATTAGTATAATATTCTAAGCAATTCGTAAGAGAAACAACAATGAACCTTAACGTAATTACAATAAAATAGCTTATTCTTTGAATGTACGTACCATGTGAGCATGTTTCCTCTCAGGTTCATCCTTGTGCCTGTACTGGCTGAGCAGTTTGTTGATGTCACTGCATACTAACTGGTCCAGTATTTCTATCTTAGTGATAGCTAATGTTTGACGCGACGCATATATTCCGCGCGAGGGGTAAATGTCGTATACGAATTTCACCTGAAAAAAACGTTCATATTGTGAGATGAATGCTATTTTTGTAAGCGAGCGAAAATTTTAATATATGCGATTGTTGACAGAACTTACTTCAGTCTGTCATATGATTCTGGATATCTAATACATTTTTACCAAAACGAAATTTCGTCATAGAACGAAATACATGTAATTTTATCTTCTAACTACTCTTAACATTTTTGAAAATACACGAAGAAGTCGAACCGAAGTGAGGCAATGAACTTTAAACAGACTATTCGTTCTATAACAAATTTTCTTCTCGAAACACTGTAGTAAACTTACAGAATTTAGCTTTTTAAAATGATTTTCTTCTACATTACATACCTTGTTTAGACAAATTTTGACTTTAATATTGTGGTCTCTGTGCAGACCGCCTCGTTCCCTGAGGTCCCTGTGGGTAGCGGGGCGGGCGGCGCGCACGCGGTCGCTGCCGGCCGCCCAGCGCACGCCGCTTGAACGATACGCCGCCGTGGCTGCACGACCTGACTCGTACGGCTCGAATTCTTGGGAACGTCTGGACAAACACACGAGTATTTACATTACAATATAACTAGCTGACCCGACAGACGTTGTCCTGCATATAATATCTATAACAATAATATGTATAGATAAATAACCTAGAAACTGACTGCAGCGCCATCTGCCGGGCTGATTTGTGTGAATCTAAACCATCCAGGGCGCCTCAAACGCATACAGAAAAATTAATTTAAATCGGTCAAGCCGTTTAGGAGGAGTTCAATGACATACACACGTGCAGCAGAATTATATCGCGCTAATCTCCGTTGGATAGCGCATTTATCGAGGCTATAACACATTACGCTATAACCAATAGGAGCTGAGCAGAGCGTGTGAAACCGCGCGGAAGTAGCTAGTTAATAATACACATGGTAGCAAAGTTACGGAAACACTACCGTTGTGTCTTTTTCATTTCTTAATAAATAGTTTCTGACACAAGTATTTTATTAATTGGTAACATTATGTCGTATAAAAAGGCAATTTAGTTAGTTGTAAATGGAATAATTTGATGTAACGTTATTTTAGAGGGTTCGATAAAATGAAAAACAAGAATGCTTGGCTCCGTTTCATTGCTTTCAAGTGTATTAGCAGCCGAGCGTACGGCGCCCGCGCCTCAAAGAGCCATCAGACCACTACAGATGGGGCCCAACATGGCCGATGCCGATTCGGAGTCGCGGAGAACCTAACTGGTAACCGGGGCTCCGGCTCGAAGTGCAGGAGTAGGAACGGGGTGGTTTTTAGTCAGTAAGAGTCTGACACTCCCTCCCGCCTCACCCAGGCGGCAGCAGTCATTCGATGATTTCCTTTTTTCTTTTTCTTAAAAAACGTTGCCCCACACTAGGATTTTCTCCTGTGTCGTGGGTGCGTTTACAAACATGCAAGTTCACATACTAGGGTAGACGACTAATTTTTATTTTAATATCCGTCTGGTAGATTATTTAAAAACATTGGACACGTATTTTTTATTTTCTTACGGAAACGAATAGTTTCGAAGATATATTGGTTTGAAATGTCGCGTGACGTCACTTCTCAGTACATTTTATACTAAGAAATGACGTTTTAGCCCCCACTCCTAAACTTTGATTCGTTTTATCTAAGTATTGTTTTATTATATGACAAAATAAAAAAATACGTGTCTAATATTTTTTAATTACCTACCTTACGGACTAATTAGATTTTTAATTTTCATACCCTGTCATCATCCCCATTTTCCCCCCTTAAAAAAAAAGTGTATTCGCAGGATGGTATACTAACCTTGAAGTAGTAGGAGATCCTTGTGAACGAGGGTCGTCAATAGTGACCTTCTTCTTTGGTAGCGGTTGATCCGCTGTTCGGAAGTCATTGCCTCCATACAAGTTCCACGTAATACTCATCTCTAGTAATTTGTATCTGTAACACATTTCATGTAATGTATTTAATAAGTGGTCGCGATCAGAAGGACGATGGTCGAGTAAGGGTGTCTCGGTTGGGTAAACGCACGGGTTGGATTCTGATATGGTATCACTTAATTGGGCTAACCGCCTATTACATATGAGTGATTAATAACGTAATTAGTTAAAATTATACATAACATCACGGGCTTTACCCACGAAGGGGTAGGCAAAGGTGTACATTACGTGCCGTAGCACTTAATGCCACTGTACAATGTAACACCCACTTTTCACTTTTTGTGTTATGAGTCCCATATAATATATGTTAATGAAAAGTATATGTAAATATAATAATAATTAACAAGCCTATCCCAAGAGGAATACAATGGCATCACGCTATGTATAAACTCGAAGTAATGAAAGGAATAAACAATTATTTCATTAGAACTTTCTGTATAATGGTCATATTGTTATAACTTCCTTTTTAACTGACCGACCGACTAAGCTTAAGACTACCTTTTTAACTGACTGAACATAACATAACATCACGCCTTTTATCCCCGAAGGGGTAGGCAGAGGTGCACATTACGGCACTTAATGCCACTGTACAATGTAACACCCACTTTTCACTCTTTATGTTATGAGTCGGTGAGTCCCATGTAATAGGGGGTGGGACTATTGCCATATACCGGGCACTATTCCAGACTCCGTGCTACTACTGATATTTAAAAAAAAACCCAGTAATACTTTGCCCGACCCAGGAATCGAACCCGAGACCCCTTGCCCGGTAGTCGCACTTGCGACCACTCGGCCAACGAGGGAGTCTACTGTCTGATCTTAAATTAATAAAGAAAATAAACTATAATAATAATTACCGCAACATTGGTTGTGGGTAATTCTTCGGTGCGTCGAGGACATCAGTCCTGAACTTCGGTTTAGTGTAATGTTCATCCGGTTGAGGGGGAGGGGGGGTAGGGGGTCGGATATTTTTCACCCCCGGATCATCCATCTCTTCATCCGCATGCACCGATTGTGAATCCACGAAGCAAAACTCATCGTCTGTGTTTCCACCGTCGCTACTTGATTTTGTCTGTGTTACATAAATGTACTTGTAATATACAAATATGTACTATTTTTTATGGCAAGAAAACCTATTTAGGCATCAGTAAACTCTTCAATTTAATTCAGGGTGTAAACAGAACGGCTCCGACAGCACAATCAATTTGTGTTTTTATAGTTTGTTTTCGTGTTATTCGTGCAACATCAGTCTTGGGCAGTTGATTACAACTATTATTAAATAAAAGAAACATTTCATTCTTTATTTTTTTTAAATAAAGCTCATTTTTTACCATCTCTCGTCTTCGGTTTTTGGCAACGTTCTCCTTACACCCAGTATATTAATAACTAGCAGCCCGTCCCGGCTTCGCACAGGGTAGACAATTATTTTTATTTTTTTCAAAATGAAATGTAGCCTACGTCAAATTGGAAGAATGTAGCATTGTATCGGTGAAAGAATTTTTTATATCAGCCCAGTACTTTTTGAGCCTATTCATTAAAAACATACAAAAATAGGTACAAATCTTTCCTCTTTATAATATTTATTAATTATTAATACAGTGAAACTTGGTTAAATGGGACCTGGATAAGTGAGAAACCTCCATAACTGGAACTTATGCTGAGGTCCCAACACTTTGTCACTGAATTACCTCTGTTAGTGGGATGAGGTAAACCTCTATATCTGGTATTTGTTCTTTCGATTTATCATCATCGTTACCTCTATAACTGAGACAGCGAGTAAATTTTATATGCATAAACCTCTGTAACTGAGATAACTTTGTTTGTTTACTCATTTTTATTCTACCCACAAATTCCATACGTAATTCCAAGTCACATCTATTAATGGAACCCTCTGTAAATGAGACAGATATTAATTTATACCTGTATATCTGAGACACTGGGTAAGTGGAATACCTCTATAAGTGAAACGACATTGCAGGTCCCTTGATGTCTCACTTAACCAGGTTTCACTGTAATAGATGCTAAATGAAATAAACTTACCGATCTCCTCTTAGATCTGCGAGGAGTGCGTTTAGGAGTCGAGGTAGGGTCTCCTAGCTCCTTAGCAACATGTATATTGAACGGCTTTTCCGAATCGTTGAAAAACTTTGGAGGTAAATCATCGTAGGCCACGACGAGAGGCTCCTCCTCCGATGGTCCTGCAGTAGGCCTTCGCTTCATGTTAGACTCGTCGGGGAAGTAAAATACTTCCGTAGTTTTATTTTTTTCTTCCATTGAATTTTGTAGATCTTCTTCTTCCACTGTGAAGCGAGAATAGTTTGTAATGACTTTTTTAATTAGGGTTATTTAAGCTTATATGTCGTGGTGGCCCGAAGGTTTAAGAGGCGCGCTTCACATGCATGAGGGACATACAGGGCCTGTATACCAAAAAACACCTGTATTACAGACAAGGTATGGGCTGACTTAGGTGATGGAATACTTTTTTACCCGATTAAATGCTCCCATGGGATAAAACAAGAATCATATTCTACGCGGAAGAAGTCTCGGGCAACAGGTAATAGGACGTACTTGAAATCAATATTTAATTTCTAAGTAAAAATATACCGGAGCTACTTACAAGTGGTATTAGGGCTTTCTTTCATAGCCTCAGCCATGAGGTCGTTGACCTGTTGAATTTCACTCGGGGATAGTTCTCTTATTTCTTCTACCGGCCTGTCGTCTAGACCTAAGAGTAATAAAATAAAGTGTTATAGACAATGTTTATGCTAGTAAAAGATTCAAAATCATTGATTGTTATTCATTTTTCGTCTTTTAAGTTGTAAATTCCATATGAACAACAAGGACAATCTTAATTGTACATTGGGTCCAGTTTCTCAGCCTTATGAAAATTTTGAATAGGGGACGTTCAAGAATAACGTAAGCACCATCTCTCTGTTTTGCTTATTTTGGATGACATGGGGGGTAGGGGAGTCTAGATGATGATTACGTCATTGATTTATTTACTTTTTTACACGAATGGCATACCTCATATTGAAATTATAAATTACAAACAAAGACCGACAAAGAACTAGACATTATAGTATCTAAGAGAATATTAAAATTACAATATAAAAAAGATATAATTTAAAATGTTTACGTAAGCAAAGTGGGACGGGGTACGAACTTTGCTTACTTTTGCTTATAAGGGAAATGGGGGGGGGGGGATAAATAATTGTAAAAATCTGCTTACGTAATATTTGAACGGCCCCATACAGATAGTCAAAGTACACTTTGCCTTGGCGAATCGAAACTTGGAAACTGCGTATTTTTTTTATGAAATAGGTGGCAAGCGAGCAGACGGATCAAGTAGAGGAGGCGCGGTATAAACATTTTTAGAAATACGCTCTTACTACTAACTAAATACTTACCAACTAATTGTTCTAAAGGTTGGTCAGAGCAGATGCTGGTGTGTCGAGAGGATCGATCAATGGGTGGCGTGGAGTCTCCGTCCATTGACGCGTACGTGAGCAGACGGAACAGTGCCGACGCAGAGTCCCAGCATGTGTGGAGTGTCACCATGTTGTTTGAAGCACTCAGGTCCACGTGCGGTTGATTCGGTGGCTGCAATATGGTTCAGGGATTTTATAGTGACCGGTAAAGTAGAAGGGAAGACACCGAGAGGCCGGAGTCACATACAGTGGTCTGCATGAAATGCATCAAGCAACAGAACGAGATAAGTGGCGACATCTAGTGAGCAAAATTGGAGAGTTACGATCCTCAATAGTGAGGGAATCGACTAAGAATAGTTGATCTTATATGTAGATGGTATTGTTAGTTCGTTTAATGACTGAAATTAGTTATTGTTGTCATAGAGATTAGGTATCATAGTTATATTAATAATAGACATAATATTTGCGTATTAGAGTAAGATTTCAGAGCCGTTCAGATTTAACGTAACATATGCCATAGAGGTGCCCATTACGGCACTTAATAATGCCCGAATACTGAAACGCTACTCAATTTTAAGTCGTACTTAAGTATAGTTCTATCTCTACAAATTCTTTGTAAAATAACAGAAATGGCACGATATTTGAGCACGACTTAAAATTGAGTAACGTTTCAGTATTCGGGCATTTATGCCACTGTACTATGTAACACCCACTTTTCACTATTTATGTTATGAGTCCCATGTAATAGAGGGTGAGCCTATTGCTATATTTCGGGCACAAATCCAAACTCCGTGCTACTACTGAGATTTTTTTTACAACTCAGTAATACGTTGCCCGATCCGGGAATCGAACCCGAGACCTCTTGCCCGGAAGGCGCACTTGCGACCACTCGGCCAACGAGGCAGTCAGATGTAACGATTTAGGTAAATTTAATTTATTTATTGCACACATAATATTACAATTGTCATTACAGACTTTGTCTAATGCGACAAGCAAAGTTACTTCGCGTTATCGTAGAAAGCGCCTCCCCTTCGATTTCAAAGTAACTAGGAATCACTCGTATCTCCATTTCACTAAAACCACATACGTCTGGCGGCTTTAGAATTTTGTATCATACTACACTATATTAACAAATATCAGTAGTTTCTGAATACCTTAAAAAATCTTATATAAATTAACTAAAATCGCGGGTTACTCACGTGAATATACTAAGAAAAGCTTTACTAGTTTCGAACCACAGAGGGGTTCTTCTTCATTGTGGTTTTTCCTCAGCTGCACTGTTGCCCTGTTGTAGGCTGCGCACGCTGCTCACGAGGAAGAACTCCTCTGTGGTTCGAAAGTAGTAGAGCTTTTCTCAGTATATTCACGTGAGTAACCCATGATTTTAGTTAATATAGTATGTCTCATATATAATAAAAATTATCAATATAAAAAATACTCACGCAATTATTCTTATCAGCCATCCTGAGGGATAGTTCGAAGACGCCCAAATCAACGACACAGACATAATCTTTTACAATATCGGGTAACTTGTCATCGTCAAGTGGTACTGCGGCATTAGGCTTAGTCCCAAGTATATGCATTAGGAATAGGGTGCACTCCTGTGCTATGAAACGAAGGCACGAAGTATTTGTGGCCGCTATTAGGTTGCTCGTTACACTGAAATTACCCAGTGTAAGTACTGTGCGGAAAGGTAGGTAGAGTGGTCTGAAAATAAAAGAAAATATTATTGATACATAGATTATTATTCACAGAAAATATTATGATAAAAAGAGTTAGCTGCCCGATGTTCGTGACATCGTTCAAGATTACAGGCCCTGTCTTGGTTTGAAACTAGTTGAGTAACCTCGTCCAGTAGTTACATGAGTAACCAGTGATACCTCACCGTCATCATCAACAGCCTATAAATGCTCACCGCTGAGCAAAGCCTTTTCTAACACGGAGAAGGTTTGAGGAATTATCACCACGGTTGCTCAATGTGGGTTGGTCATTTCAAAATTATAATTAGACATTATATATAAGTGCCATATACACCGTTAAATTTGAATCGTTTTAATCCCTTGGAGGTTCGAACTAGTCTATGAAACACTATCGATTTGTAAAGATAAAATTAAAAAATAAAGTACTTTTTTTTAATATCTCGAATCAATTCTCGCATGAATGAATAAATAATGCGAACCGTTAGTACAGTTATGTCGGTCCTAAGCCCGTAAAAGTATGAAGGAAAATTTGGAATCAATTTATTTGTTTACCTACGCAAACATCAGTTGATCGAGTCAATAACCTTATGCTTAATCGGGCCGTGTAGGTACCTACACTGCCCGATACGCAACGACCGACGACGACGTAGGTAACTATCTCGTGGCGCAACTTTTGGTTACATACATTTTGCGAGTATAATCTTATCATTTGCTAATTTATTTATTTTTTATGTTACACCGCAGTACAAGCTTGTAATGAGTAGTATTCTGTTAGTTAAACCACAGGTCCATGGGATTAAAACGACTAAAATTTAACGGTGTATATAAAAGTGCCATTCTGGCCTAATTGAAATAAATGATTTTGACTTTGACTTTGACTATATAAGCCCAGGTTTTTAAGATGCGTTACTTCATTCATTTGATAAAATATGATGGCAAACTTTTGTTAATAATGACAACTGTTGTTGTTTTATATGTTCGTACTTCACATCTGTTGTAACAAAGAGTCAAATGCCGGAATACTGAAACGTTACTCAATTTTAAGTCGTGCTTAAGTATAGTTCTGTCTCTACAAATTATTTGTGAAATGACAGATGGCACGATATTTAAGTACAACTTAAAATTGAGTAACGTTTCGGTATTCCAGCAAAAGAATTTAAGAATATTACAAAATATTCAACAGAATAAATCCAATAACCCAATTATCCTCCTCCCCAATCTCCCCAATCCCGGAATCTTTAATAATCCTCAAATTCCTAATCCCCAGATAGCCGGTAACGCACTTGTAACACCTCTGGTGTTTCGAGTGTCTATGGGCGACGCCGATTGCTAACCATCAGGTGGTCTGCCTGCTCGTTTATCGGCTTATTCCATAAAAATAAACATTTGAATCTAAAATTGTTTCTGTATAGTTTGAAAGTCTCTTATGAATCCGCGGAAAAAGAATGAGAGGTGACATTGTATGGTATGTTATTCTATAAATACATTTTTTTTCTTTTATTTAAACTTTACTATTAAGTCTTTAATTTTATGTTCCCTAAGATAAGAATGTTAATTTCATAAGTAGTAGTTTCTTTTTTAGTTACTAAAATTTTATTGTCCTCATTTTTATTATAACTTAATTGTAAAGTTGGTTAACCTATAATTGGCGACTGTATAAGCCTAATTAAGCCCAAACCTATTGTTACCTTTATTATCTCTTATACAGAAGCTGTTGGTATACCTATTTAAATAAATAAAATAAAACTTTATTTTCGGGCAACTATGGCCCATAGATACATCCCTTACAGACTAAAATAAATACTTTGATATATAACATACCTATAATCAACAGCACAGTCCACGACATGTACATGTAACTCGGACATGACAGTGGAGGGAGTGTACCCTGGCACGGGGTAGTCGATGACGTCGATGATGTCCATCAGTTGAGTCAGCCACGATATACCCTTGTCACCTCTGTAGCGAAGCGTGGCCTGCTCTATGCCCAGGGCTATCACGATTGACTGTTGATAGAGAAATGAACTGTTAATTAAATGTCAAATAACTTTTAACTCTGAGATCAATAAACCTATGAACCCAAGAAAGACTGCCTAGTTGGCCGAGTGGTTGCAAGAGCGACTGTCGGGCAAGGGATCTCGGGTTAGATTCCCGGGTCGGAGTTGTGCCCGGCATATGGCAATAGGCTCACCCCTATTACATGGGATTCATAACATAAACAGCGAAAAGTGGGTGTTAAATTGTACAGTGGCATAATGTGCACCTCTACCTACCCCTTCGGACATAAAAGGCGTGATGTTATGTTATTAATATTACAAAAATCTTCTATATACCTTAACATTAGATGACTCTGCATCGGGCGCGACTTTGAGCGCCATAGTGAACATGTCCTTCTTCAGGAGTTTGTCTTTGATAATCACTCCCCTGCCTGAAGGGTAGATGGTACTCTTCAGGTGAGACGGTAGCATGGTGCCGTACTGACGGAGTGGAGGCTTCTCTGATGGTATTGTTATCATTGCTAAAGGGGATAAAAGTAATGTTTAGTATAAGAATTGATTCATATTTATTTAAGCGGTTGGTAGGGGCTAGCCGTTTGGATGTTATTGTTTCGGGTCTTGAGTTCGGGTTGTTTTGAGTGATGATTACTGTAAATAGTTTACAAGACAGAGGGAAAAAGGGATCATGATATTTTTCCTTGGCAGCGCAGTTGAGCAGACAGATCACCTGGGGGGTTACTCTTGAATCCAATTCCGATCGATCGACATTGGTATTGTGAAATTTCGTACTATTGAGTTGGAGTTGTAACTCATTAGCACCCATTGCACCCGTATTGCGCGGATATTGAATAAAATAAATGGTATTGGGTTTGGCTTTATATTCCGTACTCTGAATGCTGTTGTAACAGCTACGATTGTGGTTGTTTAGTTTTGACATTGAATAATTATTAAGATTTCATTGGATTGATATTGCATTGACATTGAGATTGGTTTCAAGAGTAAACACCCTGATGGTAAGCAATCAGCGGCACCCATGGTTCATAAGAGTTACAATTTTTGGAACTTCCAGTCCTAATCACTGTTTTATGTATGACAAATATGTTTTTAAATAACATTTTATTTACATTTACTTACAATCATGGTACAAAGTAGTGCGATCAGCTCGTAGACATAGCTGCGCGGTCTTGGGTTTTCCATTGAGGCCGCTCACTTGGCACATAGACAAGTTATACGCATCTAGTACTAGCTCGCCCATCTGTCCTGGCACTACACGCTTGTTGCTGTCCTGGGTAGAAAAAATAACAAGGTTTTGTTGAGATTTAGGTGTATGAAATATGAATAGGTGAGGTGCGAAGGATGAGAGCATGGATGAAAGTTGATGAAACGCAAAAGCAGTCTTTATTTGGTATCCACCAATATGATATGATAATGGCTTTGAGCAGCATGATAGATAGTTAAAGCCTATGAGAGCAAAGCTTTCGGTTTGGCAATGAGTTGGTTATTTATATGGATTTGATCAATTGATTTAACTCTTACGTCAATAGTTTCAAACTGCATTTGCTGCGAACAACGCAAGCGTTGTTTCACGCCGGTTTTCTATGAGCCGGCCGTGATATAATTCCCACGTGATTTATAGATACATTTTAGTACTGCAACAGTATGTCATTATATTCAACTTACCCTGACAGGAGTATACATAGTAAGTACTCCTTTCCCAACTTTGAGAGTGAGACAGAAATTGTGTGTCTCTGTCTCCTCGTGCGGCCGACTGTGCCCGATGCCCTTGCGCAGCTTATTGTCATACGTCGAGTAGTACAAGTTGGTCTCTTCTTCTGACGATGTGCTTTCTGTGTCAGAATCTAAATTAAAAAGAGATACGAAAGATATATACATACATAAATATATAGATATATAAACTACTTATATTTATAATTAAAAACTACTTAAAAATAAATAAAAATAATTAAAACTATTTAAAAATAGATAAAAATAATTAAAACTACTTAAAAGTAAATAAAATATAACTAAAACTACTATAAAATAAAATAATTAAAAAAGATATGACTAAAATAAAATAACATTAAAAACTAAAACATTCACAGCTTAACAACTTTATAATACAAAAAAATAACTATCGTAACATTATAAAGTACAGGGTGGCCAAAAGATACATTACATAGATTTTATACCAAATATTGTCATTTTACAGCATTTTTTATAGGACGGTGTAGATGTTGAATGATCATTGATCATAGATGCAGTAAATGACAATGTCAAAATAGCCCATTTTTGTACATTTTTGGTGTCTATTGTATAAACAGAGTCATTGCCTTTTACATCAACCTCTCCTCAACATTAAGGACCTCTAAGTAAAGACAGGTGACATCCACAATTTGGTTTTCACTTACCTATAAATAAGAGGCACGTAACAAGTAAGCGGTTAGTTTTAGCGCTACGTCACTATAAGATACTTTTAGTTAGGAGATGGTTGGTGACAAGACAATGGCCAACATTGCATGTTGGGTTAGAATACGTACATATTTAGCTTGACCCAAAACAATAATGGCCTATCATTTTTTCTACTAATGACGTGCCGCCAATATGGCGTGAGGTCATGTTTGTCCAATCACTTTAACTGTTCAGAACTGGGTAGTTTCCAGGGTATCAAAATTAAAATTCTAATTAGTCCGTCAGTTAGATAATTAAAAAAATATTAAATACGTATTTTTTTATTTTCTCGTATTAAGTTGCAATACTTAAATAAAATGGCGCTAAGTTTACGAGTGGGAGGTCGCTACGTCATAACGTGCTACAAAATGTAGCACGCTGTGACATCACACGATATTTCAAATTAATATATCGTCCAAAGTATTTAATTGTGAGAAAAGAAAAAATACGTGTCTTAAGTTTTAAATTAATGTACTACACAGACATTTAAATAAAATTTAGGAAACTACCCTATTGACTGCCCAATGAGTACAAATCAGCGAGTTTATTGGACAAGTGACCTCTCGTTATTATAGCAATTTATAGAAATATAAATTAGATAAGATCTAAGATAGTGTGGACCCAGCAAGCCAGTCGTAGATCGACGACTCGAGTTGTCGTGTATCTGCTGACGACTTCAAAGCGTCGACCAACACCTGAGTAGGTTCGTAATGTTCTGGTTGAGTCAAGGGCATGCAGAAAGCAGTATTTCTGGACACGGCGCGTATTTTCCGGAGATCCTCTCTCTCGCCCTGATCACCAGTAGCTTGAATTCCTTCCGATACCAGTAGCATGCACTTTTTGATATTTTTTTACAAATATATTCTAATATAAATAAACAGATTAAAATAAAATATAAGTCTATTCTACAAATAATGCTATAAATTATACATTAAAACTAAATTATATTAAAATTACACTATAGTAATTATTATTATTAACCTCTTGTATATCGGTATTTAAGACACAATAGAAAAAAAATGCCTTTTCTATAGACACAATGGTGTCTCGCGTAGATCTACCCTCCGACATAGCAGAAGTTAAACAAGTTTAAACTATCACTCACCATGCCCAGCGGTTTTGAACGCGCCAAAGCCGGGGGTGAGGTCGGGGTATTGAAGGGGGTTGATGTCATACTGTTCTGCTGGCTGCGGCTCCCATAGTAGGAGGTCCGAGTTTATACGGTTGTAGATTATCTCGTATAGCTGCTTCGATCTGATAAATGATAATAATATTTAGGTTAATTTATCCTCTACCTCATATGCTCACCTCCTTTTATATTTTACCCCCTTATTACATGGGACTCATAACATAAATAGTGAAAAGTAGGTGTTACATTGTACAGTGGCATTAAGTGCCGTAATGTGCACCTGTGCCTACCCTTCGGGGACAAAAGAAAAAAGAAAGAAAAATAATTTATTCGCCACCAGGCATGGACCACCAAATATATACACACATAAAGTAACATTGAAAAACAAAAATAAAAAAAGAATAAAAGCAAAAAAACATTATAAGTTTGTTGATTTATCCTCTACGTTTATAGAATTATTGGTGATTGTTTTATACATATACTTCTAAGCGCCGACTTTTCAATAAACAGTTAATTCTTAGTAAAATAAAATTGATAGTTGACAGTTTTTAGTATGGAAGAATTGTCACATTATTATAACCTAATCCTTTGATAAATATTAAAGCTAAGCCCTAAGCTTTGAATACACAATGTTTCGTTACTTTAAAAATAACAGACCACGCTTTTTGATCTCCTAAGTGATAGGCTGACGTGCACGCACACACAATATATCCATTCCGGTACCTAGGGGTGAGCACTGAGCATATTGTCTTATACCAGGCACAAATTCAGACTCGGTTACTACAGTGCTACAGAAAAACCCAATAATATTATACTTTGGTACAGAACTACTCCCCATTACAGGTACATGTCCTTGTCTGACTTGTTCCAATACTCAAACACCACTCAATGTTATGTCGCAGTTAAGTGTAGTTCTGTCGTTATAAATTCTTCTTAAAACGACAGAGAGCCTTTCAGTATGGGCGTTATACAACCTAAACTCAAACTCAAAAGCATTTATTTCTATTAAACCATAATTTGGTACTTTTGAAACTTCAACAAATACAAAATAAATAATAGTCTGTCAGTCTGTCCGTCGGTGAAGCTAGGCGCTCGTTCCAAAATGTCGATTCGAGTGGAGAAGAACGAGCAAGAAACTCCATTCGTTACTCTTTTAAAAAAAAGTCTGTTTTACACTGCTCTGATACATATTCATTCTAATATTGTACACACATGTGAGAATAATGTAAAGACATACCTGACGCATCATACAAATAACAGAACATACTAAAATAGAAAAAAAAAAACAAAACCAAGAGAAAACAAATAAGTCTGACATGGTCCTCACATATGTATACTGACAATCCATATAAAATAGTGCTTCTATACAAGAAAAAAATAAATAAATAAACTCTTGTTTAAATGAAGAAAAAAATGCTTTAAAGTATGTGCAAAATATTGCAAGTAAGTAACAAAATAGATACTTACTCAAGCTGCAAGCTGAGGATAGGTAGTATAAAGTCCAGATGTATGGCCGACAGGTCTATGGAGTTGCTTGTGAATTCTGCCATCTCATCCTCATTGCCCGGAACTATCATCTCTTCTTCTTGTGCTAAAATAACATAACTAATGCAATACCATAGAAAGAGACAAATAAATCAATTGGTATATTTTTATCATCAGTCGATGACATACTACTGCAGGACTGCCTTCTCTATTTAAGAAGGGTTTGCTATAACGTCTATCCTTGACAGGTTGAAGTGATAGCATATTAAAAGGTTCAGCTTCATCAGAGGGCGCTGCTACCTAGTTTCTGTCAAATATGAGGGAAATTGATGTGATTTTGACTTCTCTCGCGTGAGTGAGGCGAGAGGGAGTGTCAGACTCTTACTGAATAAAAACCACCCCGTTCCTTCTGTTGCACGTCGAGCCGGAGCCCCGGTTACCCCGTATATTACCCCTTATATACGCGGAGCCCCGTTAAGTCCTCCGCGGATAATTATAAAAGTAAGTAGTAAAACGAAAATAAGTTTGTTAACTCTTAATACTATATTTACTCAACTATTTTTAACTTGCATACAATATATGTGGATTAAGGAGATAGGCCATCTCATGCAGGCAAAGCGCATCATCATCAGTCTATAAGTATTTATCCATTGGTGAGCAACGTCTTCTTCATTTTTTCTTTTTTTACAAACCGCGTTGTCCCTACTAAGATTTTCTCCTGTGTTGTGGGTGCGTTAACAAACATAGCCGGTTGTCCAGCTACCATACCAAGTGCAGTCGAGATGCATCGAGCATCACTTGTCATTAATCACCACACATTAACTGTTCAAAATCCCTAAGCGATCACCGGTGACCGTTCTCCACTAACCTCATTATAGACCTTATTTCCGATGTTTAGATATTTTGGCGACCTCTGGTGCGACATATCAACGTAATAAGGCAGATTGGCGATTTCAAGCTTACAAATTGCGGGTAATAGATAGTAAGAATATAAAATACCTTTTTCCTCGTCTTCATGTTTAGTAAAACTCTGGTGTACCATTTTCTTCCCGCTGAATGGGCTGGGGTGTTTGGAAGTCAAGTTGTTCATTAGATAAAATGATGTAGTCATTGGATTTGAGTTCGCGGGCTCGAAATTAGACGGCTCGTCGTTGAAACCGTCGAATGGACCCTTCGCCGGGATTTTAGGTTTGAAGGTTATTGATATGCTGTAAAAGAAATATATGTTAATACAAATTAATTATTACTACACACTGCAGTGTTACAGTATAAGATGTCAGCTAAATAAAGAAGCGTGTAAAAATCGCGATAAAAAGCACTTTGTAATTTCTGCAATGGATCCAATTTATGTAGATGGTTAAGGTATGATCAAAGCCAAAGTTGTCAATCCAGGCTTCTATTTCTAGATGTTATATTTTCTGTTATCCGTACGAATATTACTTTTACAGTAAGGTAGATGACAAATTTTTATTTTAATGTCCGTCTGGTAGATTATTTTAAAACATTACACACGTATTTTCTATTTTCTTACAGAAACGAATACTTTCGACGATATATTGATTTGAAATGTCCCGTGACGTCTCTTCTATGTACATTTTATACGTAGAAATGACGTTTTAGTCCCCACTCTTAAACTTTGATTCGTTATAGGTATGTAAGTATCATTTTATTATATATCAAAATAAAAAAAATGTGTCTTATATTTTTTCATTACCTGACTGACGGACTAATTATATTTATTATTTTAAGATAAAAAAAAAACAAAACAATTACTTATATTGTAACTATTGTGAGGCATAGTCATTAAATAGTTACGTGAATAAGCTGAAAAATAATAATAATAAAAATAATTATTATTTGTCTAAATAGTTAAAATATTACTAGTAGTACTCACGTAGGTATGGCGGCGGAAGTGACGTGTCCGCTGAGGATGTTCCCTTCACAGACGTTGTCGTCTATCGTGGTGCGTGCTATGTGTGTAGCTGGGAATATGTCGTTTTCCTAAGAAACATAATTCGGTGGTTAATATCTTGCATGTAAAAATTTTATACAAGAATAGTACCTATTTCATAATTCCTAAGTTTGGTAGGCAGGTTGGAGATCACGGTTCAGATTTATAAGAGAGCGATATTGCTATCTGTGAAATCTGTTAGTCGACTCTATCTTATTTCTTTGAGGGGGGTGGAGGGTGGGGTGTGGATCATCGACTGACTTCTCTCGCCCGGGTGAGGCGAGAGGTAGTGTCAGACTCTTACAGACTATAAACCACCCCGTTATACCCCCCCCCCCCCACCTACTTCTGTATTGCGAGCCGGAGCCCGGCAACTCGTTAAGTCCTCCGCGGCTTCGCATCGGAATAAGCCCTAGTAGACCCATTTGTGGTGGTCTGATGGCTCTTTGAGACGCGCGCGGAACGCGTAAGCTTGGGCTTAGTTGACTCTTATAATTCCTATATTCTACAGTGTAATCATATGGCATACTTTCTTTAGTCGTATTGTATACCCTCTTTTTCACGCCAAACACCAATTCCCAATTACGTCCTGTTGTTTTTTTTATGGCATAAGCCGGTAAACGATCAGACGGATCACCTGACGCTAAGCAATCGGCGTCGCCCATGGACACCTGGAACACCAGAAGCGTTACAAGTGCGATACCGGCCTTTTGGGGATTAGGAGTTTGAGGATTGTTGGGGATTCGGGGATTGAGGAGATTGGGGAAGGGGAGAGGGTAACTGGGCCTCCGGTAACCTCACTCACACGATGAAACACAACGCAAGCGTTGCTTCACGTTGGTTTTCTGTGAGGCCGTGGTATCACTCCGGTCGAGCCGGCCCCTTCGTGCCGAAATATGGCTCTCCCACACTTAACCTATTTCAAAAAATCAATCCTTATATCAATATACTTACATAATAATATAGGTCCAGTATAGTGGCTCGTACGGTGACCGTGGTAGGCTGTGGTCTGGAACTGGGTGTTTGCTGCGAAGTAATGGTGGCGTTCTGGAACTTGAACAGTAAATAGTCTGGTCGGACGCTACGGAACTCTCGATTTACGCCCTGACGAAGGTCCGCTATTGGGAATCTGCAAAAAAAAAACATATTTTTAGGTGATGAGTGATGTTACTTTCGTGCGATTTTAAGTGAGAATCTGAACAGATTTTATCTTCGTATTGAAGGTTTCATGTTACATTTATTGTCCTATTGTTATAAAATGATCTTATAGACAAAATATTTGAACAAGGAATTAGATGAAAAAGATTTAACCTGTTAGTCGCCGATTTTTGTTCCTACAAAAGTTAATTATATAGTCACCGGTATAATTGTACGTAAAATTATATGTATAAAAAAGCACCAACAACACAGAAGAAAAATTATACTCTTATAGTAACTAATTAAATGTTGTATTTAAATAATAGGAACAATTTGTTCTTACCTCAACACAGCATGTAGGTCAGGGCACTGCAAAGTGACACTGGTCTGGTTCTGTGAGGAGCCAGTCGGGGCGGGTGTAGTGGTACCAGTATTGGAGCCGCCGAAGAAGGTCGACCACATACGTTCAATTATCGTCAGCTCCACGTCCACGTAGAAGGGTGTGCATTTAATCCTAGAAATAGGGTAATATATAAAACACATAAAAGGATTTCACCCGCTGTGTGATAGTTAATTTTATTGTGACGTTTTATAATGATAGCAATATTTTATTTATATTAAAAATTTTCGATTTGCCGCAGAATTGAGCAGCCAGTGGTCAGTAGCAGCGCGATAGTCGCCGCGTCGTAGGTTGCGGTATGCTGCTCATGATTAGAGCCTCTAGCATGGCTGGAAACTAGTCGAGTTCCTCGTCAAACAGTTCCGCGAGTATGGTGAAAACATATATATATATATATATATATATTTTAGTTTAGCCAAATATTTTTAGGCAGCTTTCAAGTGCTGTAACTGTAACCTACACGTTACACGGTGTAATCCACACGCACGAAGCACTTCGCTTCAAGCTTCCTTGTGCGTACTGCTAAAGAGTGGAATTCTTTGTCTGAGTCTGTATTTCCTGAAGAGCATAACCTGGGAGTCTTCAGGGCCCGAGGGAATAGGTTGCTTATAAGACGACTCCATCGTAGACCGCATCATCGCTTACCACCAGACGAGATAGTGGTCAAACGTCGGCCCATCACATATAAAAAACTGCAGAATGCAGATACCACCGCGGGTGTGGCGAGTGACACTCATTTTACTGACTGTTACTCTTTATTCTACAGCTACAAATAAAATTTACTCGGTAGGAAATTCCTAAAAAATTACGATACTTCCCCTATAAATAGAATTTTGACACATTGTATGTTGCTTATAAAAATTGAGTCAAATGGGTGGTTTCCAGGGTCTCAAAATTAAAAGTCTATTTAGTCCGTCTGTTAGATAATGAAAAAATATTAGACACGTATTTTTTTATTTTCTCGTATTGAGTAGCAATACTTAGATAAAATGGCGCTAAGTTCAGGAGTGGGAGGTTATTACGTTATAACGTGCTACAAAATGTAACACGCTGTGACATCACACGATATTTCAAATTAATATATCGTCGAAAGTATTTAATTTTGTGAGAAAAGAAAAAATACGAGTTTAAAGTTCTAAATTAATGTACCAGACGGACATTAAAATAAAATATAGGAAACTACCATAATGTGTCTTTCTTCAAAAAGAACTAATATAATATAAAATTATTAATCTTATAAAATTATTTTTATTACTTACACTATGTCAGTCGAAGGATTGACAAGTCTCTGTTCGCCGCGCGCGTACCTAGACGTCTGTCTGAACGTGATGCGAATGTTCGCGTGAGGTTCAGACGCGCCTTGTTGGCTTGAGCGACTCGAGCTGTCCTCATTGTCTGGGAACAAAAGATAATATTGTATTACATGACTCATGTAACATAAGTGCTAGAATTTTTAGATTTACTAGAAGTTCTTCAAAGGGTTAGGGTTAGTGGTGCACGGATTTTATAGAACGTGATTCCTCATGAGCAGCGTCGGACGAACCCCTCTGTTTCTGTCCATATATCACGATAGTTATTATAAAAACGTGATACTCATTTTTGTTAGTAATGCAATTTTAAGTGTACCGTGTAATGGGATTGAACCCATTAACACAAATTTAAAAAAGAAAAAAGAAGTTGCCCCGTACTAGGATTTTCTCCCGTGTCGTGGGTGCAAGCGTTTACTAACATACAATTTCACGTACAATGGATCACACAAAGAGTTGATGCGTGCAGGTATAGAACCTGCTACCCGTTGCACAGCAGTCATCGTACCAATTGTGCAGTCAAACTAGTTTTAACTGTTTTCTATGTCTAGCAGTTATAAACGCTTTTGAATTTTGTTGTATTATTTATAACTCATGAGATATATCAAATTCGGCAATTATATTGTACTAGCTTTTACCCGCGGCTTCGCTCGCGTCACAAAAGGATAAGAAGTAGCCTATGTGACATATACCAATATACACAGCGCCATCTATACCAATACTTTTGTTTTCCCTCGGGAATATCAAATTTTTCCGGGATAAAAAGTACCCTATTATTTAATCCAGACTTTTAACTTTACGTCTGCAAAAATTCAAAGCAATCGGTTTAGTAGTTACGGCGTGAAAGTGGAACAAACAAACAAACAAACTCACTATCCAATTTATAATATTAGTAAGGATGTATTTGGATGCGCATTGTTTGTCGCGCAATGCTGCTCATAACTATGAGCCCCTAGCGTAGCTCGAAACTAGTCGAGTCACCTCGTCAAATAGTTAACTAAGTAAGTCGTAAAAGGTAATCAGTTTTATCTTTCATTTGTAAACTTATATCTCACCTTTGTTCAGGAATTTTATCAGGTTATATCCCTGAACCATATCATCTCCTTCTTCATTGGAATAGTATAGACACTCTCTGACGAGCACATCTTTAATGGAAGCCTCACACAGCATCTGACTGCCCACCGCCGTCACTCTCTCGCTGCCGTCCACTGATATCTCTGACGTTAGGAGTCTAGGGAATAAAATCAAATTAGTTTGATTATATTGTTAACATCAACAGTTTCAAAGCACTTAATGTGTGGAATAATTTTATTCAAAATTTAATAAGGCCTTTTTGCTTCTATATTGTTTTTTTTTATGGAATACTAGGCAAACGAGTAGACGGATCACCTAATGGTAAGCGATCAGTGCCGACCTTGTACATCTGCAACACCAGAGGAGTCACATTTATATTTTTTTTTAAGGGTGAAAATCATCGAATGGTGTTCTCCCGCCTGGGTGAGGCGGGAGGGAGTGTCAGACTCTTACTGACTAAAAACCACCCCGTTCCTACTCCTGCACTTCGAGCCGGAGCCCCGGTAACCCGTTAGGTTCTCCGCGGGTCCGTATCGGCAACATCATTGGGAGGAGTATGTTTTCACCATAAATGTAATATTTAATCTTTTCTATAGTCAGAGTCCAGCCAAAAATCTTTATCAGGACTAAATATTTAAACGTGGCCATCAAGCAAAGAGAAGACTTGAGCGACCAAGGAAAAACAACGGCCAAATTATCTCATTTTAATAATAGATTTTTAACTTTATTGCGAACTAATAAGGTCTTTTTTAAGCATTGGTATAATTTGATGTGCTGATGCTACAAGAAGGTAGGCAGTGTTATATTTTATTCTTACCTCAAATGGCTTTTCAAAGTGGTTCTATCAAGTATCTCGTTAGCCGCAGTGAAGTCATCGACAATGGTAAAAAGCTCCAAGCTTGCAAAGAAGGTGCTGGCAACTTCTTGCAACTTGATGGCCGTACTTGGCGATATGACGTCAGAGCCTAACAAAGTCGGGACTAGAATATCCTGGAATAGAAATATTAGATAAGTTGTTTATCACTACATAGTATAAAACAAAGTCGCTACCCGCCGTCTGTCTGTCCCTATCTATGCTTAGGTCTTTAAAACTACGCGTCGTGGACTTCAGGGCCTTTAGCCAAACGCCACTTTAGCGCTTGTCTATAGAGGGAGTAGAAATCAAAATGTATGGGGATGACACTGACAAGTGTCAAAATTTACGTCAATCCTTACTAATATTATAAATCGGAAAGTGAGTTTGTTTGTTTGTTCCGGTTTCACGCCGTAACTACTAAACCGATTGCTTTGAATTTTTGCAGACGTAAAGTTAGAAGCCCGGGTAAATAATAGGGTACTTTTTATCCCGGAAAAATTTGATATTCCCAAGGGAAAACAAAAGTATTGGTATAGATGGCGCTGTATGTATTGGTATATGTCACATAGGCTATCCTTTTGTGACGTGAGTGAAGCCGCAGGTAAAAGCTAGTTCCTTATAATTTGGTTTTCTATTGTACATGTAGACAAGCGCTAAATGGCATTTGGCTACAGCTGTAGGTTTATATGAGAAAGAAACTGTTCAATTGCACTATCAATCAGTAGTTTTAGTTTGAGTTATGGACAAATATTCAAGCCACTCAATTTTAATGCTCTTAAGAATAGTTCCGTCGTCTCTTTAAATTCATTGTAAAATGATAGAGATAGCAAGACATTTTAGCACAACTTAAAATAAAGTAGGGTTTCATCTATACTAATATTATAAAGAGGAAAGATTTGTATCTATTTTTGTATGTTTGTAATGAGTAGGCTCAAAAAGTACTGGGCCGATTTAAAAAACATTCTTCCAATTTGACATAGGCTACATTTCATTTTGAAAAACAAAAAATAAAACTAGGAATCCTTGGTAAAATTTGAAAAATGTAACCGGGTGTAGAAAAATGATTCTTAAAATGTCTTTCGTCGAATGCCCTGCCGAAACTATTAGCGATAGAACAAAATAATGCACAACAATATTGAAGAACATCATAATGTCTACAAAAAACTCCGCGGTAGCATATGTCCAACCATTGTAGTTATGTCACTACAACAATCCAAATTTCCAAAAATAAATAATTGTCTACCCCGTGCGAAGCCGGGACGGGCTGAGGTGTCACTTTACACTTTTTTGCAGTTATGATAAGAGTCTATTACAATAAGGAGTCAAGAGTCATCTGCAGCTGTAGCCAAATGCCATTTAGTGCTAGTCTACATGTAGAATAGAAAACCAAATTATATGGAATTGACGTAAATTTTGACACTTGTCAGTTTCATCCCCGTACATTTTAATTTGTACTCTCTCTGTAGACAAGCGCTAAAGTGGCGTTTGGCTAAAGGCCCTGGACTACTTAGTTGCGTTTGTGACTACTCGAAAACAGTAGCAGTAACATAATATGTAGTTCTTAATTTTGTATATAAATATCGATGTTTATTTCTCTTAAAATGCAATATGTACCTTATGCAGTAATACACAGGCCACAGATTCGATTTTCAGGCTGATATGTGACACTTCTGCTGTGGGGTCACCCTCGATATGCGGACCTAGAAATAAACATATATATTTCTATAATAATATATTCATACATAAAAAATGTCAGTAGTAGCACAGAGTCTGGAATTGTGCCCGGTATATGGCAATAGGCTCTCCCTCTGTTATATGGGACTCGTAACATAAATAGTAAAAACTGGGTGTTACATTGTACAGTTGCATAATGTGCAAATTTGCCTACCCCTTCGGGGATAAAAGGCGTGATGTTACCATGTATGTAATACATACATACATAAACCGCATTATATTTGTGCCATGGGACTAGGCTAAAACCACAGGGCCCGGTGCCCAAGAACAACCCTATACTTTAATTGAATATTATGCATCGTTTTGTTTCTCTCATGTCATATAATATGGTAGATGACTAATTTTTATTTTAATCTCCGTCTGGTAAATTATTTTAAATCATTAGACACGTATTTTTTATTTTCTTACAGAAACGAATACTTTCGACGATATATTGATTTGAAATGTCGCGTGACGTCACTTCTATGTACATTTTATACGTAGAAATGACGTTTTAGCCCCCACTTCTAAACTTTGATCCGATTTATCTAAGTATTGTTTTATTATACGGCAAAATTAAAAAATATGTATTTTTTCATTACCTAACTTACGGATTATATTAATTATATTTTCAATTTTCATACCCTGTCATCTACCCAATTATTATGATCAAAAGCTGTTTAAAAATAAATTACACTACTTATAACCTATTACAAAAAGTGTAAAAATGGAATTGCTTTAAAACTATGTAGCTAGTAGCTACTCGCATAAAACGAACGACTGCAACAAAATTGTTTGTGTTTTTTCGTCATCAGCACAAGGTCTGTATGCAAAAAAGTCACCAAAAAAAAGGTAACATCGGAAATTTAAGCATCTGTGTCTAATCGGAGCGGTCTTCAATAATAATAATAATAATAGTTAACGCTTCCATTAGACAGCATACACCCGAAACTTCGAAGGGTCGCGTGTACCTGCGCTTCATCTAACAATGGCTACCCATTGGGCGCGGGCGTGAGGCTAGCAAGTTTTGTTTTTATGTTTTTTTTTTCTTATACGTTTTTGCTCCCTGTGCCCGATGCCAATGCCAATAAATAAATACATTTTCTTGTCTCTGCCCAAGCACAGTCCAGAGGCCTTAGTACGAGTTTGATTTACGTTTTAAGTATTCGAAACGAGTATGCGTTCGGCGTTCTGATTGGCCGGCACCAGTGAAGCAACCAATCACAGCGCCGAACGCGTACTTGTTACGATTACTTTAAACGTGAACCATATCGTACTAAGGCCTCAGTTTGTTTGGAATTGTTATAACTTTATCTTATTTTGTTGAACTTTCACACTACTGGTCTACAATTGAGCCGCGGAAGGCCTAACAGGTTGCCGGTGTTCCGGCTCAAAGAGCAGGAGTAGGAACGGGGTGGTTTTTAGTCAGTAAGAGTGACACTCCCTCTCGCTTAACCCAGGGCGGGAGAAGCCATTGAATGTCCCCCCCCCAAAGTGGTCTTAAGTTAAACAGATGATTTGAGTTTGACTTCATTATCATGATATGGCATTCTAGGCCCTTGCATTCACATTTATGAACACTCGATCAACAAAGAACTTAGTCACGTATAAGCATTAAGAGACCAGGGTCTTACCTTTCTTGTTTCTCTTGATCCTGGGCGCACCTGTGGGCAAAGTGGCGCTGGAAGTCATACTAGCGCTCATGGAGCTGACGGATGACGAGAAACTCTCCGCCATTGGGCCTTGCGATGTCATTGGGTAGAATATTTCATTTTCATCTTCCTCGTCTGTAGAAGAATGGGATTTGATAAAGACTTTTATTAAAATGGATTTGAATTTAATGATCTCTTAATTTAAACAATAGCATAATTGTTAAATAAATTAATAATACAATACAAATATAGCATAATTGGTGGTTAAGTCATAGTTAAGACACAATGTTTGTGCCTGATAAGAACAGCTTGTCAAGTGTGTCTTCTGGGATTCAGAATGTTTAACCAACTGTTATTTATGCTATCATTTTTGGGAAGCTTTCCTCCACGGCGTTACTGATTTTGGTTCACAATTCATCATTTATGATGGTGTTGCGACGGCTTCAGATCAGAACTATATTACCATTTTTGATAGTATCAAACGCCAAATCTATCTTTAGGCCGAAAAAAGAAAAAAGAATTCTAGTTTTTTGTCCGGTATATGGCAGTAGGCTCACCCCCTATGCCATGGGACTCATAACATAAATAGTGAAAATTGGGTGTTGCATTGTACAGTGGCATTAAGTGCCGTTAAGTGCACCTCTGCCTGCCTTCTGGGCTAAAAGGCGTAATGTTATGTTAAGAAAACGTGTTTCGTTGTAGTACTTACCGTAACCTGGACCAGACCAGCCAGACTTGCTGCCAGCAAACTTCGCCTTATGCTTCTCGAACATATCAAGTAATTGAGCTTCTATCAGTTGGAAGTCTGCTGGCTTCATCGGCTTGCACTGGGCAGTTCCGCTAGGACGTAATGGTATATTACTGTGGAGTAAAAAGGTGTTTAACATGGTCAAGATAACTCAGTAGAAACTAGTCATTGTTGAAAAGTTGAATATGATATGAGAGGTAGACTTAACACAGACAACTATGGAGCTATCATCAAATTGAATCTAGTTAAATTTTGAAGTTGATCCATCAAGTTAGTATTCATAACCTAACCAGAAATATGTATAGAATGTTTGATAAATTTCCTCGTTGGCCGCGTAGTCGCAAGTGCGCCTGCAGGGCAAGGGTTCTCGGGTTCGATTTCAGGGTCGGGCAAAGTATTACTGGGTTTTTAAAAATACTCAGTACTAGCACGGAATCTCGAATTGTGCCCGGTATAAGGCAATAGGCACACCCCCTATTGCATGGGACTCGAAACATAAACAATGAAAAGTGGTTGTTACATTGTACTTCCCCTTCGGGGATGAAAAGACATGAAGTTATGTTCTATAAATTTTTAAATAAAAAAAATAGTTACTCACGTTCTATCTTCCAAATCTGGCTGATTGAGAGCATCAGCGAGCTCTATCAGTGTATGTAGCTGCCTCGGAGTAATAAACACAATGAGGGACCCGAATGACATATTGACTTCAACTTTAGGCCCCTCCACTTCCGAATTATGCTTTAATTTCAAGGCTAGTTCCTGTTCTCCTATCAATTTAGCAAATAATATGGGATCAGGGTGGTTGACCTTCTCAGGCGTCGATTCTCTCGACTCCGGTCTACTTTTGATCTGGTCTTCATCGGGGTTGGCCTCTTTGAATGTTTCTGTTTCTATGGTGGATATTACACTCCTAGTTTCGTAAAAGACATCAGAAATTGTGCTTTGGAAGTTCACATCTGGAGTCTCTTGACTCTCGGCTTTATCAGCTTGTGAGGAGACGGACTTCTCCATGATGAGACTCCGTGCCATAGTCCGCATTCTCGATGGGAATTCGTCCGTATACAGAGTGACTCCATCGAATTTAATTTTTTTGTTTGTGTATGCTGCTACTATGTATGTTTTCGGCTTGTCAGGATCTGTTTCCCCCGGGGTCGGTTCCGACCCGGCTTCGTCAAAGTAGTCGATACTAAAATGTTATACATTCGTTAATATCATTTACACCTATCTTGTGTTTTTATCGTGAATACTGAGTATTGTGCACTGGCACAAGTTTGAAGTTGTTGACGAATTTACTGATTGAAAGAGATTAATCAAAATTCTTTGTCATTAATTTCATTTGTAGTAAATTTGAATTATTCATTAGGAACAATGAATGAAACTAGTAATATCAATTTTAAAGATTATAGTTTTGTGCCTCACTTTCTATGAACATAGAGATTGTGCAACAATGTCACTTTAAGATCCATCTTCACCTCCAAATAATCATAATAGTCATTAAAATGAACAAACTAATTAAAACCTTAACGCTTTTCGAATATGTTACATTTTACCTCGCAATATGTATGGAGATTTCAATTTCAAATTGATAACACATAAGACAGTAAGATCATAACAAATAAGAAGCTAATTAAAACCTTAATGCTTTCATTACATGTTGCATTTTCTCTTGCAACATAAAGACAGAGATTAATTATTCTATATTATGTTAGTAGCCTTGAATACCGTTACAATTAGGATTGGAATTTATTTAAGATTGCAATGTTGATTCATAGGATTGTGCATTGATAAATACTTTGTTGTTTATGATGTAATATCTTTTAAGTCAGTCGTTTTAAATTAATTATTATTTGTTTGGTAAAATTGATCTTTAATTATGTTTGTCTAATAATTGAGTTATCACTCAAAACCATTAGGGCATCTCATAATATGCACTTTAAAATTGTCAAAAGTAGTCAGCCAATAAGAAGTAGACTTCCTTCACCCATCCCATTGGTTAGATTTTAGTCTTTAAAAAAAACTTTGCCCCCCCCCACTCTCATTTTCTCCTGTGTCGTGGGTGCGTTTACAAACATACAAGTTCACATACACATGACACCTAGACCCGAAACAACAATTTGTGGATCGCATAAAGAGTGGAGTAATTAAATGTAGGTAGTATACCAATAGACATATTTTTACTATTGTAAAGGATCAATTACCTACATACATAATTGGTGAAGATTAAATGTTCTATTTGCCCATATTATCCCGTTTTGGTAAAGGAACATGATGATATTGACGACTTAAATATGTTTAAAGTAATAATGTTAAACTTTAAACATTTTTAAACAGAAGCCCCTCTATTAACAAACAAACATTTTGTAACATCACGTAAACAGAACAATGAAATCGGAAGTAAACTACATAATACTATACATAATATACATTCGACATTTTCAGTGGAATAGACGAAACAATGACATGTGCGATAAATCGAAGGCCGTCGATTCGTCGAGTTAAGATTATTCTAATCAGACGCGCGGAGAGGTCAAACGTATTGACAAGGAAGTACTACTGCATACAATGTCGTTTACTTTGGACCTTTTTGAATTTAACTGGTTTGTGAATTGTGACGTCATTATTGTCGTCGGTACAATCAATTAGGTGACTGGTTTGTGACGTCAGTATTGTTGTTGGTTCATAAATTAGGTGTATGTATCTGTTACTAGATATGGTGTATCGATGGGATTTGGAGCCCAAGGACCTCGAATTGCATTGTAAGGATAATAGACAGTATTGTTATTTAAGTATTATGATACTCTGATGACCATTCGTAAAGTAATAAAAGCTATAGAATTATAGAAAGGTTGCATTAATTACTCATTATTTACAGTAGAGTGGAGTTTTTGCATAAATTTATGAAAAATATATTCATATATTTTCGACCGCGTCGTTGGCCGAGTGGCCGCAAGTGCGACTGCCGGGCAAGGGGTCTCGGGTTCGATTACCGGGCCGGGCAAAGTATTACTGGGTTTTTAAAAAAAACTCAGTAGTAGCACGGAGTATGGAATTGTGCCCGGTATATGGCAATAGGCTCACCCCCTATTACATGGGATTCATAACATAAATAGTGAAAAGTGGGTTTTACTTCTATGTGCACCTCTGCCTACCCCTTCGGGGATAAAAGGCGTGATGTTATGTTATATATTCATATGACCCGTTCGTAGTAATGCTACGAAGACCGTACTATGTCGGATTGCGGCCCGTCCCTGACCCCTTTAATTAATAAAATTAATGAATAAATACTCACTTCTTTATATGGACCTCAAGTGCGATGCCTCGGTCACCGTTTTTCGGTACATGTTCAATGCGAAGTATCGTGTTTTCAAATTTTACTTTGACACGGCTTAGTACTGAAATGGAAACAATGGTTTTAACTTGAATATTCTAATTTCTAGTGCATTTTCTTACCTTATTTACATTACAATGGGTAGGTGTGAATCAAAAAGGGGTGTATGAAGGGAAAGTATATATATATTAGTTTGTACTGATGTTTATTGTTATTGTTTACTTGTACACACGGCTACACATCGAGCTTTACATAACCAGTATAAACTGAAAGTTAAATTTGCGAAAGATGATGCGACGCGACACCAGGATAAACTGGTTTTGTATAGGTTGATGTGTGGCCGTGTGTACTGATGTGCAAATAATCGTTAGAGACTAGAATATTATACAAAATCTTTATCTTAATTACTAAGTATGTAACTAGAGGTATGTAAGTAAGAACTTGCGGTTGGGTGATTTAGATAACAAGTGTGGGAGAGCCATTCTCCGGCACTGCTGGGCCGGCTCGACCGGAGTGATACCCCGGCCGCCCAGGAAACCATAGTGAAACAATACTTGCGTTGTGTTTCCTCGTGTAAGTGATTTTAGCGGAGGCCCAATTACCCCCTTCTCCAATCCCTGAATCCCCAACAATCCTCAAAATTCGTAATCCCAGTAAAGCATTTGTAACGCCTGGTGTTTCATGTGTCCATTGCTCTGCTTACCATCAGGTGATTCGTCTTCTCATTTACCGGTTTATTCTCAAAAGAAATGCTAAATCATTATTTAACTAAAATGAACATCTGTACAAATAAGGTATTAAAAAAATAATAATATACAGCAAATGTTATTAATTAATGCAAATAATGACGTACTTGAGTCTATGGCATGAGCAAACATCTCGATGCCTTCGACGGGTTGGGAATCCTGGGGACCGACGTCTTCCTTCAGACACTCAGCGGCTAGTTGCATAGAAGATGACATGGAGGACCACATCGACTCCAGCATCGATGACACTGTTTAAAAAATAGCATATATTTTTTCATAAAGAAGGACCATCGTTGTACAAATAAATTAATGAAAATATAACAAAAAAAAAATTCTTTTTTCATATATATATACACGTAATGTAATATCTTTCCTATTGACAAGCTGATTTAGCTACCCGTTGAAATCCACCCCCTAAATTTGGTCATACAAAAGTAGTCTCTAAACATTACAAATAAGGTCTATAATGTAATGTAATATTAGTGGAAAGCGGTCACCGGTGACCGCTTGGTAATTTATGGGTTAATGCTTTCGTAATATGTTACGATTCCTCTTGCAACATAATAATTATGAATATGAATACGTATTTTTTTATACAACTACCCTTGTGTGTTTTTATAGTACGGACTTCTTGATCTTAGTTTTTTTTCGTATGTACCTATATTTATTTGTATTTGGTGTATAAAGTAGTATAATTTCTAAGTTATACAGTCCTATCATCATCATCTACAGCCGGAAGACGTCCACTGCAGGACAAAGGCTTCCTAGAGCCCTATTGTGACCACAGATGGGGCCCAATACGGTCGATGTCGATTCGGAGTCGCGGAGAACCTAACGGGTAACCGGGGCTCCGGCTCGACGTGCAGGAGAAGGAACGGGGTGGTTTTTAGTCAGTAAGAGTCTGACACTCCCTTCCGCCTCACCCAGGCGGGAGCAGTCATTCGATGATTTTCCCCCCTTAAAAAAAAAGAGCCCTATTGTGTAATAACAATTTATAGATCAAACAAAGAATTGTATTGTTCCGTGTGGGAGTTGAACCCGTGATAGGCGCCGCAGCTGGTCGCCTAATCATAGCGCCCCCCGTAACTATTGTACCGTGCGTGCCCCATGTATGATAATAGGTTCACCCCAATCGAAAACTGGGTGATTAATTTAATTTGAGTGTCTGCCTACCCTGTTCTCGAAACAAAACGTGATATAAATACAATACACACAACATATATACGTCTATTTGATGTAAACAGAAGTTAGTTAACGAAATATTGTATAACTAGCTACTTCCGCGCGGTTTCACTCGCTCTGCTCAGATCTTATTGGTCGTAGCGTGATGTTTTATAACCCATAGCCATCATCGATAAATGCGCTACACCAACACAAAAAGAATTATTCAAATCAAACTTGTAGTTACGGAGATTAGCGCGTTCAAACAAACAAACAAAAAAACAAACTCTTCCGCTTTATATAATAGTATAAGATATAAGATCTGTCTAGAAAAATACTAATAATGACTGTTTCCAAATACTTTGTATTGTGTACCAAATAAATAAACAAACAAAACATTATTACGATTTTTGGGAAATAGTGTTATACAATCAATTACATACAAACAGACTGCCTCGTTATCCGAGTGGTCGCGAGTGCGACTGCCGGGCAAGGGGTCTCGAGTTCGATTACCGGGTCGGGCAAAGTATTACTGGGTTTTTAAAAATTCTCAGTAGTAGCACGGAGTCTGGAAATGTGCTCGGTATATGGCAATAGGCTCACCCCTTATTACTCTGGGACTCATAACATAAATAGTGGAAAGTGGGTGTTACTTCTGTGTGCACATCTGCCTACCCCTTCGGGGATAAAAGGCGTGATGTTATGTTATGTTATGTTACATACAAACATACATTTTACAATGCGCAAATATTGCAAATTTTAATTACAAAACTAATTAAGACCTAGTGTGGGTATGTGCACATTTTAAATATAACATTCTTTACATAAGAATGGAATTTAAAGTATTGTTCTAATGACTTTGAGCTGTTTATAATTAATTCAAGATTATATTTCGCCAACAATACTGCCTTTGGTTGACTGAAGGTTGTATTATAATTTATAAATGATAAGTTTATTTGGCTAAACGTATATTGCAGCTAGCTTCTACGAGCGGCTTCGTCTATGCGTTATTCCAGACTATATTGTACCCCTGTTCAAAATTCCATCACAATCCCTTCAGTCGTTTCGACATTATTGAGTAACAGAAGTACAAACAAACTCACGAACTTACTAATGCTAATTTATTATACATGTATATGTCTAGAATGTATGTGGTAAAAACCACGGTAATAATAATAAACTACCGTGTAAAAACTAAAGTATGTTTTATTTAGTAAAAATTAATATGTAGGGTAGAAACATTTTACATTTTTGAACCATTGTGTGATGTATTAAGTCTATTGTGTGTAAGCTCCTGTCTTAAGCTAGCTTATTGTATGCTAAGTCTTAGCAAATCTTAGAAAATAAATAATCTTTAATTTTTTAAGGGCGGAAAATCATCGAATGACTTCTGCCGCCTGGGTGAGGCGGGAGAGAGTGTCCGACTCTTCCTGACTTAAAGCCACCCCGTTCCTACTCCTGCACTGCGAGTCTGAGCCCCGGGAACCCGTTAGGTTCTCCGCGACTCTGTATCGGCATCAGCCGTATTGGGCCCCATCTGTGGTAGTCTGATGGCTCTTTGGGGCGCGCGCGGAATGCGACGCGCCGTAAATAAATACTCTGTGTTGCTGACATTACTTAAAAGTAACGGTAGGCAAAGACCACATATTACAACTTTGAGACATATGTCTATGTCCAAATACTCAACCGCGCGTATAGTTCTGTCTATCTTTGAAAAATAACGTATGTATAATTATGGCACGGCATATAAGTACAGCTTAAAATTCAGTAGTCTTTCAGTATTCGGGTGATAGTACATTCATTATTATGTTTATTGCTTACACAAGTAACTGTTTGTCAGTAAAACAAAGTAAACAACAGTCGAACAGTTACGTGAGTTAGTCGAAAACATAATAATTAAAGATCAAATAGTAATTTATTGTGACATCCACTCTTCATCGATTATATTATATTATAGGGTAGATGACTAATTTTTATTCCATCTGTTAGATTTGTTTAAAACATTAGCCACATATTTTTTATTTTCTTATTACTGAAACAAATACTTTCAACTATATATTAATTTGAAATATCGCATGATGTCACAATGTCTAATATTTTTTCAGTCCTTAACGACGACGACGTCGTTATACATTTTGAATTTGGATACCCTGTCAGCATCCCTATCATAAGTCCTATATAATCCTCTATTATAACGAAATAGTTAAGAGTAATAACTGATTTTACGTGTACTACTACATAATCATAATAAATTACCTGGTTCAGCTCGCACTTTCGGTTGTACCGTAAGCGTCAATCCGCTGATTTTGACTACAGAGTCATCTGACAACAGTGTTGACCATGGAACGGAGACCATAATCTCCTTCACATGGCCATCTACTATCTCCAAGGGCCAATTCTGTGCATCTCCCAGCTCGTTGAGTACCTACAATATAAAGACATTATTCACCTCTTGTCTGCCGGTATATAAGACAAAGTAGAAAATGATTTGTGTTCAAGTAGATCTATGTTCCATGTATAAAAGCACCTATGACAGACTATACTATATGTTTTTTTAAGTTTCAAAAGTATCTGTGTATGATTTAGTGTAGGTCTGTGTTGAAAAGAAGGTTACATTGTTATTAACCTTTTTTTATAAGAGGGTAATTTGTTATCAAAAAAGTACTGAGATTTTTCCTGTATTAAACTGTCAAACACCAAGCGGTCACCGGTGACCGCAACCTATTGTTCTATAATTGTGTCTACAAAACCGGTACTCAACGAGTTAAGGTTATAACTAAAACCAGTACCGAATTTGGCATAAATTATGCACATCCCGATCATAGAAAGTTCTGTTCTGTGTGAACCAGTTGTATGCCGTACAGTAAATGGTTTACCAACCTTTTGGTTGCTAGACCCACACTTAGGATAATATTACTTTGGGAGAATAAATGATTTTATAGTTCTACTATGATCTTATTAAGCCCCCTACAGTTCTAGAAGTTGTTTTCAACCAAAACATTTTTACTTGAAACATTTTCTGTAAATAGATTTTAATTCATTCATTATTCTGCTTGTTGACACAGCTATTCTAATTTAATTCACATTTTTGTATTGCAGTACATTTTCATGTGGTTTCTGAATTGTTTATTTTACTTTATTAACTCGTCGAGTACTGTCATTATAGACACAATTATAGAACAATAGGTTGTGGTCACCGGTGACCACTTGGTGTTTGACAGTTTAAAACACAACCTCTTTTCTTTGTTATCCATCTTATGTATGAGGGTAGGTGTAGGTACTTTGTTTAATTTTCAATTGTTTTTGCACTAATGTAAATTTTATTGTGTATTCAAAGTAAGTGTCTTTAAATAGTATAGAGCTGTGATAGTATTAAATTAACATCATTATATCTACGAAAAAAAAAAAAAAATATATTTTCTTTGTTCTCTAACTCTAACTGTAAGGGTAGTAGGTAGTAAAATAATTTGTCTATTTGAGTGCCTATTGCACTAATGTATTTTGTTATTAAGTGCATTTAATTAGTGTAGACCTGTTTGACAATTCGCTTATTATCAAGGCAACGAGATAAGGCGACCATTGAGGATAAAGAAAAGCATCTTCACGAAATTTATACCCACGTGTTAAAACAACGCAGTGATAAACAAGAACAGGCATATTTATGAAGTCAATGACGAAATATGATCACGATCTATGTTGTCCTTTGTTTGAAATTCAAGAATAACACGTGCTAGTCCGTATTGCGCATATTCTATTGGCAAGTTTGAACATACGTTTATATTGTAACGCAAACTTAAAACAAATCTATTTATCGTCGAATTTTAGAGGAAATGGAGCAATACAACAAAATATACTCACATCGCAGTCAAGGCTAACATCGCTGACTGTCCCAGTACCATTGTACAAATCGACACTCAGCTGATCTAAAGTTAATTTCTCTTCTAGAAAATTGCCCAAATATCGTTGCAGCAGATACCTGCAGGCTCTTTTTTTAATATTTTCAGACCACAGATACCACATCTTCAGAACTTTTTAAAGAGCATCACTGAGAATTTTTATTTTTGTGCGTAATGACTATTGTGATTTGCGTGCGATTGACTCGCGAACGTAAATAAACACAGCGTTCCGTTACATTCAGATATCTGTCAAATATGGCAGTCTCCAGTGTTGTTAACTCTCAAAAATATTTTGTCCCTAAAACCTTTCTCATAATAATAGTTTTGCTTAATACATTGGATACCGTGTCGGACAAAATTGTGATCGACGCTAGCGGAAGCTTAGCCTTTAATAATTTTAGTTGACACATAACTTAATAACAATAAGAATTTGTTTTGTATATTAATTACATGTTAAGCATAGCATAAACCGTTGGAATTAAAGAGAACCATTAAATTATAAACTGCATTTGGTTTTGAAAGGGCTACCGTTTTTAGATAAAATCTCTAAATAAAATACAATTAGAAGTAGCACAGTTAGTAACATAGACGTGACAAAATGATTAAAGAATTAGCTAGTTTCTTAGGTCATTAACAAATTATTTCAACGTTTCGATTCAATTATATATTGTAAGGTAATCATGCTTTAAATTATTTATTTGACGATATTTTTACAGATACAAGAAGACGGAATTGAATTAGATCAAATGGGAACTGGCCTGTTCGAATTTTATTTCATTGATTCAAAATATTTCAAATCCTTTACTTTATTGTAACCAGCACCCTGTACAAATATTTTACCCTAGATTTTGGGTGTAAACTTCCAAGATGGCATCATTGGTATTGTCAATTTGTCTTTGACGTATTGTCTTTACGACAACAGGACAGCTTTAGCAAAATTCTGTAAGTGCAAGTGAGACAGTGATATTATGTTGGGTTACATGATTTAAAAAATGATAAACTAATAAGAAGAGTTCTGGATATCCACATTTTTGGGTTTCATTAATGTTTTAAATTAAAATTATATTATTAATTTTGTACCGATGTAACTATTTAAAAACGTAAGTTCTGTCAAGAACTCGGTAATTAGACAATAGAAAGTGGGAGAAAATAATTTAAACGTTATATATAAATTTGTTTTTAATGATATTACTAATGAATAACTAACTTTTTGTAGAAATTATACATAGTTTAAATGAATACTACGAATCATGTAATTCATTCAACTTTTGTTTTATCTTGGAGGAAAGGCATGTAAGTATGTTGTGGATCAGCTCTGCTAACAGCTGGCGGCGTCGTAATGTATCCTGATCCCAAATTACACGAGTATATAGTGATAGAATAAATTACAAAATTAAGATGCGTTGGCAAATATAACGTTCCAGAAAAGTCAGAGCTACCGACTCCTTCTTCTGAAAACGCAAAACTGCTTGTATTGTTAATTATAAGTGTGATTTCCACTCTCGATATTTTGTAAAGATCTGAAAATGTTAAAATCATTTTTTAGCTTAGTAATATATATTATTTTCCTCGATGTGGCAGTATAATTTTATAGAACAGCCTTTAATTGAAAAATCATGTCCACAATGACCACAATCGTAATACTCATGCAAATAAATGTGTTGTTCCGTACGGGAATCGAACCCGCCGCGATCCGATGTGTAGCTGTCCGTTGCCAAATCGTGCAGTCTACGATAAGGTAAAAAATTGCATTTTAATTCTATTAACTAGGTACTTACTTACCATTATCACACTTGTAGTGAATATCTAGGATTCGATTCATTGCTATTTTTGCCCAAATTTTCTGATCAGTAAAAAGCGCGTGTTCTGAAAAAAAATCACCAAAACCCAATTACCTATTGATGATGACTCGTTAGCCGTAATACAAACAAATTAAAACATTGGCACTGTTCAGCCTGGCTCAGAACTTTAATAGTTTGATAATTGAAGAATCGTGGTCGCTGTGCTTGCCAATTTACTGGACTGACTGATGTACCTGTATTTTCCTCATCTCATTATACCGTGATGTTCCTTTTTTTGTTTCATGGGGAAAATCATCCAATGACTTCTTCCGTCTATACATTTTCCCCATCTCATTACCTATACCATGATTCCTCCGTGTGAGACGAAAGGGAGTGTCAGACTATTACTGACTGAAAACGACCCCGTTCCTACTCCTGCACTTCCAACCGCAGCCCTGGCAACCCGTTAAGCCCTCCGCGGCTCCGATCACGATGTACTTAATACACAATAAGGCTTACTTTTTTAAGCCATTAAAAATTGTACACTTTATACGACCCACATCTGACTCCTATTACAGCCCCATCCAAAAGTTGTCTATAAGAGATCGCGTTGTGCGATAAGACCGCCCATTGTACGAAAAAGTACATATATAAATAAATACTTTATTATAATTCTTCAGGCTTTGCCTCGTACAGGGTCACTTAAGGAACCGAATACCTTAAAGACTGTCCATCACAGCACTGTGGTCTATGGTTAAAAAACGAATAATTTTCAAAATAAAGTACTTAGTTATAAATAGGTAAAATGGTTACCTTTACAAGTGCCCAATGTCATCAGTATCTTATAATACGGATGCCCAACTGATTGAATAGTCCTCATAAAACGATATTCTTTTGAATCTTGGAATAGAACCGTTGTCAAAAATAAGGTTAAATTGAACAGTTTAAAGCGCATTGTAGTAATATTGATGCAAGGAACGACTGGATACCACGTAAGGTAAGCAAAGAATGGACTATAGTAAAGTATACCTTATAGTCGTAGTTTTAAGCGACTGTTATGAAAACAAGACCTAATAAATCTATTGTTAAGTTCTAGGAAGGGATCGTGGAGGACCCGATATGGTAATAAAGTGGATAAATATTTTAGCCCTTCTAAAACTCTCCGATGTTCATTATAGTGCACACTGCACAGGCGTGACAGTTGAAGTGTGTGACAGCCATGCTTCGGCACGTATGGGCCGGCTCGACCGGAATGATACCACGGCGTCACAGGAAACCGACGTGAAACAACACTTTGTTTCGTCGTGTGAATAAGGTTACCGGAAGCCCAATTACCCAATACCCAATACCCGAATCTCCAACAATCCTTAAATTCCTAATCCTCAAAAGGCCGGTAATACACTTGTAACTCTGGTGTTTGGGTGTCTATGGGCGACGCCGATTGCTTAACATCAGGTGTCCCGTTTGCTGGTTTACCAGCTTACGTCATAAAAATAGATGAATGAGACAAAAATCTCTTGCAACCGCTGATATCCACTTCTAAAGATGGTCCACTCTTATGAATAACTACAATTTAGCAGGTGGTTACCCCGCTTATCCGATAAAGCTGGTTGTATGGATGTGACGCCATGACGGGTATATAAAAAATACACACAAATAAAAACAAAATATTTATTTAAATTACTTTTTTATGTACAATCAAATCGCTGTTAGTAAATCATCACCAAGTAGACAATACGTATTGAGCACCTACTGCAATACCCGCCCAGGTTTCTGTCACTATCTGTTTAATATATTTAGGGGGGACTATGAAGTCGTATTCATATCCAGGCAACTCCAAGGTGTAGGTGAGAGGGATTCCCACAGCTCTGGTCCAGTCTCTGGAGGTACCAGTTGTGAAGTAAAGAACGTTTGCAGCGTTGCCCACTATGTACCTGTCAGCCTTGTCCAAAGCCTTTTCATCGATAGCGTTAGCCATATTGATGCCAACCAAATGAAGGATCAGACCATTTGGCGGTAACGTAGCTGTAAAGTAAGATAAGAATTGTAGATAAATACTGAGTATTTTCAGAAAACTTTCGAATGAAAATTCCTTCTTAGGTGGTCTTGCCCTACTTACCGTTGTTGCCCCAAGCATACAGGAACATGTTTCCGTAACTGTGTAGAGAAATGTAGAGGGATGTTCTCTCAAGGTTGGACATGACAGCGCTTCTGACGACTCTAGTCTCAGACTCGGAGAAGGCGGAAGGACCTTCGAAGATGATGGAGCAAGGGTTAGCGCTGCTTGAAACAGTGCCCCAATGGTGGTCGAAGTTGCGGTTGATATCAACTCCTGGGCACTCGTCGGCTCCATCGTGCGCCGTGGAGCGAGTTTTACGCCACAAGCGGTCCTGAAAAACGTTGACGAAAAGTTAATAGAAAAATTAACCGCAGAAATCAAGGATAGTGGCAACATTGACCTCTAATCAGAAGTACCAAACAGGTCAATGATCAAATTAATAAAAAACATTCCAAATAAGGAATAACCTCTTTCTCATAAGAACTTGAGCTACGGCGCTGTGTATGAATACAAATGGAGCCTAAAAGGGAAATTTAGTTAATAGGGCGCCCAATTATATGCACGGAAGCCGCTGATGTGGGTAACATGCCGTCATACATTTTGTCAGTCACGCACCACACATCAAGATAAATGTTTCAGAAATTGTTACGTTGTTGTTTCAACGTTTAGGCTGAGATAAATCGATGAAAATGTTCTTCATTGAGATTGTTGACTTGTTTATTAAACCCTGTTAGATAGACTTACCACATCGATCGAATATTCGTAACCATCAGGGTTGACGAGAGGGATAATGATCCAGTCGATTGATTGAGTCAAGGGGCTTTCGGAGGCTTCCACCACGAGTTGGTGGATGATGTAGATGGCAACCGGAGTGGTGACCCATTCTCTGGCATGAGCCATGGCATCGATCACGATGACGGGCTTCCGAAGGTTCTCGAAGCGGGTCGACGAGATCCTCACGTATTTGATCTGACGACCTTCGAAGCTAAGGCCTGCGTTGATGACGGTCACGAGGTCAGGGTACTCTTCCGCCAGTTCATCTAAGTATGCGTTGATCTAAAAAAATATGTTGTTATTATAACTGACACGGTAACTACAGATAAACAATGTGGATGACAATAAAATGGTAAACAGTAGGTTTAAATTGCATATTATTATTTTTGCAACTCAATATGTCATGTAGCGAAGTAATTTACGAAATTGAAAATGTGGAAAATGTATAGAAATATAACGTTATCATTTTTTGCGTTTTATGTGCTAGTCGTTTATATACTTATCGAAATAACATAACATAAAGACCCGCTTTTTATCCCCGAAGGGGTAGGCAAAGGTACACATTACGGCACTTAATGCCACTGTTCAATTAATCACCCACTTTTCACTATTTATGGTATAAGGCCCATGTGATAGGGGGAGAGCCTATTGCCATATATAGGGCATAATTCCAGACTTTGTGCTATTACTGAGAATTCAAAAAAACCTAGTAATACTTTGCCCGACCCGACTTTACCCCTTGCCCGACAGTCGCACTTGCGACCACTCGGCCAACGAGGCAGTCTTATCGAAATACTGGGGCTTAAAGCTCAATATTAGATAATGTGTGTCGACGTTATACTAATAATGATTCACACGATTATAAATTGAAAAATTTATCTAATAAAATAATTTAGTTTTGTAAGTATTCAGTACTCACTTCATCATGCCTGTAGTAGGTGTCCCATGAGATAGACTTTCCACTTCGTTTGGCAGCTGCTTTCGAGAACTGAATCTCAGCTTCTTCCTTACGGAGGATTCTAAAGAAATTATAAAAGGGATTCATTAATTAGTAGAAACGAGTATAGGGTGATGTAAACTTCTGATGATACATTGATTTAAAGACGTTACCAATGTAGTAGTAAATATTCGGTAATCCGTAAGTGACGCAGCAAGCCCTCGCCATTAAACGTTAATATTCGCTTTATCTAAGCAGTTATTATTTGTCTGGAATAATCTTTGACTTTACACCTGCTATATGTATAGGTGACTTGTCGAATAAATCGATGTTTCTTTTTCATACCCTGTCTAGGTACCTACACCCTTACGTATATGGAAGCTCCTAAAGTTTATTATTTCTTCTATAGAGACTTTAATGGACATGTTTGGCTAGGTATTTCGAGACAAACTAATCTAGATTTTAGTCCGTCATAAAAATATACGAGGGTTTAGTAATAAAAAGTTACTATAGTCCTGGTCTTTACTTTTTTATTGGTGTAGATGTAGACTCGGCTATCTACATTTTGTTACCGTTTTTGGACAACATTATTATGTAATCTATTTCTATTTGTGACCAATATTAATCAAATACATTATTAAAATTAAGAAAACTAATAATAAACCTATCCTGTCTTATTTTAGTTTAACCGCATCTAGAAAAATCACTTTCACGCCATTCAGAATAAGGACGAAAATATCCGAAGGCTTTACCTGCATAATTAAAATACACGTCTTACGACATAAGTATATGGTATCGGCATAGGTACATGTTATTTCACATTATAATCTATTTCTACACTTAATTTCATACAATTTAATTCAGTAATTTTTGCGTTATACATCCACACTAACTTTAAATACCACCTCACTAACAAAATAATATTAGGAGCTACTTACTCGGCGAGATTGTCGGCGATCTTTGTGTACACCATGTTGTTCCTGTGGAAGTAGTGCAGCCATTGTTCCTTCTCTTCAGGAGCCAATCGGACGAGAGCCTCGAGCTTGCCAGAGTCGGACCTGGCTGCGGGCGTAGCTGATAGGACATCTAGGCTTGCTTCTAGTTCTCTGATCTGTTCGTTAAAGCCAGCCACACGGTATAGCTGGTGGCTAAAAATAAAGATATGTTGTTTAGTTTTTAAAATAACTAGCTACTTCCGCGCGGTTTCACTCGCTCTACTCGGCGCCTATTAATTGTAGCGTGATAGTTTATAGCCTATGGGCCCATTTATCGAGAAAGACTATGACCTTTCTATAAATGGGCTATACAACACAGAAATAATTTTTCAAATCGGACCAGTAGTTTCGGAGATTAGCGCGCACTTTATAATATTAGTATAGATTACTAGGTAAGTCCATTCCATGAAGGTATATTTTTAGTTCAGTTATTGTAGGGACTCTGTTACCAAATATTGCTTTTGTATAGATCCTGTTAAGACGGCAAATTTATTTAGCCTTAACCAGAAAAACTTAAGTAAATTGGCACATAAAAGTGTATGAAGCCCTTTCAGTAGCTATGTGTGTAGTCACGTAGTCACTTTAACTTGAGTACAATCTGATTCTTTCAAACATAAACTCGTATGCCATAAGTAAATTACTAGAAGAGGGTATTAGGAAATTGTCCTTCTAGGGCATTCTTCTTTATTATTATTGTAGGCTTCAGTAAGGAACTCAGGATCAGGCGCTGGACGAGGCCACAGTTCCTAACTCGAAACTCGTTTCTCTTTGAGTCTTTGCTACAGGCTCCTCTGACAATTATGTCCTTTAGAAAGGAACCTTCAGGTAATTGGGACATTTTGGTACCCAATAAAATCCATATCCATATGTTTTGAGGACGCACCTATAAAGCGAAGTAAAAATGGAAAATAAATACATACCCTTCATATTTTTCGTGACCTCCCTGCACGAAGGAGGCCACACAGAGGAGAACACAGATCACCAACCGAGTCATTTTACCCACTGGCCGTGTGTCAGCTCGGCAGTTATCTTATAGCCTTCGATTAGGGATAATCTCCTGATAATAATTAAACTATGTCCAAAATTATCTTGCGGAGAGATCAAGCAATAAATATTGTTGAATACTCCCTGCGATTTGAACTGAAGATAACATTATAATCCTTTTTATCAACAAACAACACTAATAAAAGATCTGCTCATTACAACCAGTGGCGATTGAGGTATTTACATACATATAGACAGATATGCTTCTCAAAAAATTTATAGGAAGGTACAAAGACCTTCAAAATGTTATCAAGTGTATGTGCACTCATAAGTTAGACTTTCAAAAAGGTATTGATGATTTAACGAAGGGTTTATTAAAAAATGTGTTGCATATTTTCAGAAGTCTCCAGTCTTCTCTTCTTTCATTTGGCCTTTTCTTTATTAAAACAATTGGTTACACATCTTCAGGAGGGGGGTATGTAGCTTTTTTTTATATAGCCCTTAGTTTCAGGGTCGACACTTGGGTCTGATCCAGATTCTTATCTGATTACTATAATTTGATAACATTACCCTATTCTTCTTGGTAAGCTGTAATAAGCAGGAATCTGCGACAGTTTATATAGGTACCTACCGTCACTGAACCCTAATTGCATTAATGGTGAATAGTGTGTGATAAAGATCCTGTTGGGTCAATAATCCCACAGCCGTAGGAAGACACACGTTTTAAAATTTTAAGTATCATCCTAGTCATTATTCTCATTTCTGAAACATCTAATTTTCCATCTCATGCACTACGAATTTTCAAGTATTTCAAGGTTTTATGAACATTAGACTTCCTGCCGTACTCAGAGTCATTTAATGGCTGCTTTACTCAGTCCTTCCCGAGCGTACGGCGCGTCGCGTTCCGTGCGTGCTTCAAAGAGCCATCAGACCACCACAGATGGGGCCCAAAGGGCCGATGCCGATTCGGAGTCGCGGAGAACCTAACGGGTTCCCGGGGCTCCGGCTCGACGTGCAGGAGTAGGAACGGGGTGGTTTTTAGTCAGTAAGAGTCTGACACTCCCTCCCGCCTCACCCAGGCGGGAGCAGTCATTCGATGATTTTCCCCCCTTGAAAAAAACCCAGTCCCTAGCAATTGTTTTCGGAATAAAATTGTCACTAAGGAATAGTCTCTGAGTATCGCAGTTAGACCTAGTGTTTACAAATGTAAAAACCTGTTTTAGAATAATTATTTATTATGATTGTATGTTTGTGGCCTAAATTATAAATAGGTATCATTTGCCGCCTGATATAGTTTACAGTAGTAATCTTTATGGCTACTTAACAGTAGATAAAACTAGGTAATAAAATGTTATAACAAATCATACATTGTGAATGTTTTCTAGAATGGTCGGCCAACGTAATTTACTCGTGATTTTGTGTATCAAGCTACTGTGTCGTTTGTGTGATAGGTAACTTACGTTTCTAGATTTTGTAGAAAAACAAGTAGGTTCATACAGGCTTGGCTATTTTTAGGGGATATTTTTGGTAGTTTAATAGTTATTTACGACAACCTTTGGGTACTATAAAGCAAACACCTTAATCATGGTCGTGTTGGTAATCGCGTCCATGACTTACTTTGATGAAAACTGTAAATACGGATGTTTTTAAACCAAATAAGGTAAAGCGTGCTTCATATTCATCAGTAAACACATTTTTACATGCCCACGTAGTTAGGCCGTTAATAAATACCCATATGCATAAAACCGTTCATCTTCTTCCCTAATATTATGAAATAAGGTTCATATTCCTAAAACAAAAAGCTGATCAACTGTTTTTCTTCCTGCTCTACTTTTTGAATTCATTCTACCATAGCAGATGTCATTTGCCATTCCTATTAATTCACAATTTAATGATTAACAGTTAAAAGGAGTTTAAAATAAAACAATTGAAATACAAAACAATTTAATTTATTTATTTTTATTATCTACATAAAAACTTTAACATTTCAATACTGTTTGATTTGCACTTATAGTTAGGTAATTAATCACTACGAGAGACGAGTGATGTCATTGTATCACTTTATATCTTGTGTTTCGCTAAACACTTCCAGTAAATCCTCTTTAATGTGCTCTTAAAACCAGAATGTCGCCATGCGTAAATCAGAGGGTCACAGAGGCTGTTGCAAACGCCTAACAAATATAGAGGCCCTAAGGTTAATATTTCTAAAGGAATGCATTCGTAACCATTCTTCATAATATCGCATCTTACATACATTATTACAGCTACGTAGTACGGTGCCCATGTGCCAAGGAAACACAAAGTTACAATGAGGACAGTTTTTACTGCCTTCAATTTACTTGGATGACTGCTACTCATCCTACAGCACCCCATCCTTCTATCTCTACTTGCATCACTTTGATAAGTCTGTGTTTCACTGTCGAATTTACGCATCTCCACAATAGAGCTACCACAAGAGTCTGTAGTAGATACGACAGCAGCTGAATTAGCCAAATCATCAATGAAGCCTTTATTCGTATAGCTGTTTTCTTTGAACTCTCTGATTTTGTCAACGGCTTTGACGGCGCTTCGAAGGATGAGGATGTATAGAATGCAGACCATGATGATGACGGAGAGTACTACGATGGACAGGACGAGGAGGAGGGCTGAGGGAAAGACAGCGATGTACCAGCATCTGAAGTCCCTGAACGTCCGCCCTGTCCAACCCATCGCTGGCAATGTGGATATGAATATACCTGTGTAAATTGTAAAGGGAATATTTATGTATTTGATCTCTATCTATTAGAGGCTTGGAAATGTTTGGTGCCCTTTTATTCTGAGTAGACTTCTTTTAAAATACGTTAGTAGGTACATACAAAGATGATGTATAAAGCAACAAGACGATTCATTGACAGACAAATCGTGTTCAGATAATTTAGAGCCAATGAGATTTGATTATGTAATTTTTGCTTCAATATCTACTTTATAAATGACTTGTTTATTATCTAAGGGATAAATATAATTGTGAATGATCAGAAAATGACTTTAACGCAAGGTGCTAAAACACATTTTAGAATATACAACGTAATCATATGTAATAATGTACCGTAGATCTGTCTCTTAGATGACGTTGTAGGTATTATATTACGGACTTAATAACATAGTTATATACAAATATTAATAACAAAGATTACATAAAGCTAGATTAAGTTATCACAAACATACAATAATCTAAAATACTAGGTATTAAACCATTACGAACACTAATTTTTACAGTTTTCAAGTGTACCTGGTGTCTCATTAGTGACTAAGGCGGTGGAGCACTGGTAACATTTGAATTGACTCAACATGATTTGTAAACACATCAAAATGAAACAACGGTTATTATTACCTATCATCAGTTCATGATAATTAATTACAAATCAGAATCAAATAAAAGTAAAGTTTCAATAAGGTGAGTACACAAAACCATTCCACATAATATCAACAACACAATTAGAGAGCTCCGTGAAAATGTCATGGATAACTTTGGATAAAATATAATTGAGAATTCTAACAACGAGTACTAAGTAGTATTATCTACTAATCCTACAAATACAATTTAATACAAACACTCTGTAATAGTTCTTAACGGATTCTTGAAAGCCTTTGTGCCACCACGCGTATATCAAGGGGTTCAATAAACTATTCAAAAAGGCAAGAGTTGCTAAAGGACCGCCGAGTAAAGTCCTAATATACATACATCTAGGATTTGTCAATTTATCTTCACAAAACACGAACACCGTCACACTAATGAAAAATGGCATCCAGGTGATTACGAAACTTCCAGAAGTTAGCATGACTATTGTAATCGCCCTCCATTTATTTGGCTCCTTCGGCCTGCGCGATAGAGCATTTATGTTGCAAATCTTTCTCACTTGATTTTGAAACCTTGAAGGTTTGAGATTCGGCATTGAGACGTCAGGATTGGATCCTTGAGATTGAATTGTACAAATGCTAAACATTGACTCGCTCTGAGATTTACTTCGATTGCCAATATTTTCAAAGTTATTTGCTGACATCGTTTGAGTAAGACCGAGTTCATGGTTACTTTTAGATTTAGTCGTTAAGGTCGGTTTTGCAATTCCATCTCCACTTCCATACACATTATTATTGTAAGATGCACTCTTCGTTAGTTTAGGTGTTGATTTATTTTCGACCACATCAATTGATGAAGTGCTCGACACATTGTTAGCTTTACCACGAGAGATTCTGAAATTCATGTTTTCCCTGTAAGGTTTGCTGTTTTTAGCACTTTTGTTTAGAACATTGACTGTTTTCAAGGCTTTTATTAGAATAATGGTATAGAGGACAAGGACTACTATAATTGGTACAATACTAAGGAATGAATTGATAAGTATAAGAGTGCCGGGGAAGAGAGAGACGTAGTAACATCGAGTGACGATCAACTCTGTGTTAGTCCATCCAGTAGCTGGCATGAATCCAAGAGTTATACCTGGAATAAGTGTTAAACACAATTTACACACATTTAGTTACGTTGCATAACAAACAATTGAGTTAAACACAACATATCGTCCACTGCAGCATGCGTATCACAAAAGTAATTTAGTAAATGCAGATACCAATAGATAATACTTTTGTGAATTTCGATTACAGTAGTAAAAAAATCGTCAGCAAGGAAAGTTTTTACAGCCAAATCATACTAGCTTGCGGCAGAAGACTGATTTATTTAAATCACATTGTTAAAACGAATTTGTGATTGTTTACAACACAATACAAAAAATAATATTAGTTACACGATTTCTTACCGATCATCCAAATGCATAAGATTCCGATTCTGACTCGAGTGGTGTTGAACCACCTTTGGTAATATAGACCGTGGAGGATATAGATGTATCGGTCCACAGCGATGACACCCACGCTGAAAATGGAGACCATGGCTGGACATACTAACATACCTGTTGATAAAAATGTAGAATATTAGGATTGGGTTCTCCAAGTGTTTCATTTTGATAAAGATGTAATATCTCTAATAGATGATGAAAAGTTATTAAATAATTGAATAAGTGAATTAAAGCAGAATTGTAGAACATCTTTTTATGGTAGCTAAATAAATTGTAGACTCAATTCTCAATAGCCTGTCTAAACTATATTATGTTATTCTTTTGTTAAGCTTAAGTATTGAAGAATGAATTTCATTTTATAACAGCTTAATTTCTTATGGCGAGGTAGACCACAATTATTTCACTTCCACCACCGCAAATAAGAACATTACTGTATTTATGTACATTATTGTGTCTCTTCTACTCTTTAGTTTTTAGACTAGTAGCTAAGAAATTCAATATGACACGAGTAATAGACATGGTTTTTGTTCAGGTTGAGAGTACTTCTTATGTAATTGCTGATTCATGATCGCTAATCGGTATTCTATTCTGATAATACACAAAAGTTTAGCCTGTGATTTATTAATAAAAAATATTTATTCATTTAAAAACATTATGAGTCGGCACTTATCATTATATTGAGGTAATGAATACTATGAGCTTTGTGTTAATAATATGATTAACGACATCAAAAGTAGAACTGTAGTAATATGGTCGACTTGTTCAGCCGTATTTTCCAAATGGTATAAAAATATTGTATGCCAGATAATCTATGACAAAAACTATAGACACACGACTATCGCCTATTTTGATTATCATCTCAATATTGAGACGATTGTACCTACGGTCACGATTGGAAGACGGATTGTAAAAGCTTCACGGGAAAAATATAGTAGATAGAGATTTAACAAGCGTTAATATAAAATTAGTTAGTAATGAATGCTTCTCCAATGACAAAATAGATATGAAAGACCATTACAATTTAGATGACATAAATTGATACTTTTGAAATATGTATAATCAAATTGAATTGAATAGTAATAAATATTTAAGTAATTTACGCCAGTTTACATTATCAAATTGATGTCCTTAGAGATAGATGACTTTGGTTAAGTTTTTGACATAAATATAGTTAAAAACTTAAAATTAAAATATCTACGTCATACATTTTATAATTTGGTAATATATATTTATATTTTAAAACTAAACTTTATTTAGAACTAAAGAATGGTGGCTTGTATGTAGACATTGGTTTCCACAATGAGCTTGGGAGTGCCCCAAGGACTTTATCTTGGTCCATACTTAAATCCTCAAGAAAAAATACGAATTTTTAACATAACATAACATAAGATCACGCCTTTTATCGCCGAAGGGGTAGACAGAGGTGTACATAGAAGTAACACCCACTTTTCACTATTTATGTTATGAGTCCAATGTAATAGGTGGTGACCCTATTGTCATATACCGGGCATATTACGAATTTTTAAGATTGGTTAATCCTACAATTAATATAATATTTTATCTTAATGTTTCTCCTGTCTCCAATTAATTTTATAGTGACATTTTTCTAATCGTTTACATATATATTTTATTCGATGTAAGTCATGTACGACGGTTATTATGCAACCTGGCATTTATAAGGTTTATGAATTCGGTAAAAGAAAAATTGCTGCTTTAAAGGTGATTATTTCTGTGGATTATGATATCTTTGTTGATATGCAATTGTTTTGATAAAATGTCGTTATATTTTTTGCTGTTTTGCTGGTAGATAACATTTTATTAGTTCCATTCAGTAATTAAGTAATAATATAGTAGTCGATGTTACCATGTAAGTAAACTCCACTCACATCGACTTAGACTTTTTTACGATGAATAAGTAGGTACTTAATCCGTGTAATTATCATATTCCGTTGATAATATCGGTAGGTAGACTGTGATAAAATACTACAGTTTTTAGTTGTATTGGTGGAACATAAACTAATTGACGGTTATGGTGATGAAACGCAGTACTTATAAACAAGTGACGAAAATATACTAAAGTGAAATCAATTGAATGGGTTATCCTAAAATAATATCAGCTTACCTATTTGAAAGATACACAAGGGGTTGGAACTCACAGAGTTGTCCACTGTGACTCCGAAAATGAGGGAGAACCCGACGATGGTGTCAGCGAGAGAAACATTGCCAAGAAGGAGATACGTGCTCTTTGGTTGTTGACCTGAAACAGAAAGCATAACATTGACATTCACCTTTAGACTATTGAACATATTTTTACCTAACAACAGCCTTTAAATTCAAATGATGTCGAGCACGTTTATCCGTCTCGTGTTACAATCTAATCCTTACAGTTTCGAAACACTGATGAATATTTAAATTGCTTTTGTATTTTTGTTACAAAAGAATATCAATAAAAATAAATAATTTTGTATTTATAGCAACTTTTCGCCAATTATGGTATGGTATTCTTGCTGTGTTGCGCAATAGAGCGGTTAGCATGTTAACAAATATTATTTTGGACTCTATAATGTATCAAAATTCAACGTGGGAAAACCCAAAGATTCCAATTTTAATTTGTTTATCCGGGGGTTCCACCTTTGTAACCGCGTGATGCCTTTAACCCCACATTTATCCTAGTAGAATACGCGATGAGTATCTACTTAATGTTTTATTGTATCTCTTTAAATATTATTATGTATCACAAACATAACATTTAAATAAACTATACGTGTTAGGAATGGCGTACAATTCATGTTCCCATTACACCTAGATAATCTTAAAAATAGGTACTATTATGTATTGTATTGTTGTCATTTGACAATGAACTCCTATTATGGATTCAATTTGGGCTATCGTTTCTTGCAGGTGTGGCAATAAAGCGTAAGGACTTGTCCAATTATTGTAGGGAGCTATAATTAAAGTTAAATGTTTAAAAATCTTAGGTGTACCCAATGTAGTGTTCCTTCCACAATAGGGCCCAGTCTCCAAAGGAGAAACATTTAGAAGTGATAATTTTTGTATCATGTTTTAAATTACTACTTTTACTTAACCCTTTAACCGCCAAGATTCTGAACTTTCAACTTACCTCCAGCGCCACGTCACTTTAGGTATAAGTTGGAACAGTGTTGGGAACACTTAATATCGATGCATATATTCTTTATTAATTAAAAAATTAAAATCAATGTTTTATTCACCTACTTAATAAATAATCTAAAAATTTTCAATCTTCAAACGAAGTATACGAAAATGTGTATTCGGGAAATGGGCACGGCGTCGTCCGTTCTCCTGCTGGCGACGGTGACGATGCTCCACGAGCATGTCGTATTAAATTTAATATTTTCATGTAAACTTCTGAGCGGATTTCCGACAGTACGGTTTCCAGCTCAAAAGGTTTTAAAGATGCAAAGTATTCATTTCGTGGATCACTTGGTCTCTGATCAAAAACTTTTGCGTCACCATCTTCTAACTTTGCATAATGGACACATTTGGTTTTGACTGTGTTGATTTATTTGAGAAATAACAAAAACCCAAAAAAGGGCTTACAACACTAGTTGCATTGAGTGATAAATGTTTAACGTGATTTTACGGTGACGGCGCTAAGGCAACTCACAATACAGCGCTATAATCTCCTTGGCCGCACGTAATATTACGATGATGGCGACCGGCGATTGTCCGCACTAGTGCGGTTCTGCGTTATGAAATTTTTATATTATTGTTATAAATATTAAATAATTTTAAACTTAAATACATTTTAATTAGTACAAATACTTGCATCAAAGTAACACTATGGTTATTTTCTAATGAAAGTATACACTTTCATTGCAAATAGTGACAGTAATATCTATAGTGCCTTGTTTGTTCTTAGACAACCTATTAAGTATTTTTCGAATTCGCCCCATCCCTAGTACTCGTAAAATTACGTGATTGGCGATACAGATAATGGAGACGGTGACCACAATTTAATTAAACCTCAAATTTCACAGTATTTATCACTCAAAACATTGAGAAATATCCATAACAATAAAGATTATACCCTACATCTTGAAATTGACACATTTTATATGGAGTTTGTGCACTATAAGAAGATTTTTAATAAAATAACGTGATTGTATGTATGTGGTGATTCGGACACAGCTTTCGAAAACCGTAATATTACGTTGTCGGCGGTTAAAGGGTTAAGTTTCTGATTGAAGTATACTACCCGATATCGAATTAAGGGTTAATGGTGAAGTAAACGGTAATGAGGTTTAAGGGTGCAGTAAAATTTTTGTGAATGAGTAAATTAAGCTAATATAATCTTAATCCGCAGTAGGTAAATAGGCTCATAGTAAAAAAAATGCGTATGATTGTCTTCTTGGCTGACATGACTACAAGCCAGAGTACTGTCTACCGGATCTGTGTAGGTACAACAGTCATTGACCGCTAAAAATAATCAGTAAAAATGTGAACTGCTGACACACTTTTGTTTATTCGAAGCTATTAAAGCAAAGCCTTCGCTAGTGGCTAGTCTAGAGATTATGGAGAGAGGTTCGAATGTGTACATGGCATCGTTTCGTAACAAATTTTAGCAACGGTAACATATCAACGGTAACATATCAACGTATGTGGGAATTCCCAGTAAGTATCTAGTTGTTAGTTGTTATTTATACGTGCTTGGTTGTTTATATGTCTCCACTTTTTATTGGATATCAAACTCAGCAACTGTTTTGTGGTCTTGTTTATTTTGTTTCTTGGTTTACCTACTTAGTGGCTCTCTCCTACTTAATCAATTACCCATGCTTCATTTAATTCTTATAGTTAGATTTTGTACAGAAAAATAGATTTTTACAGAATCACATGATGGTAAGTGATCACCGCTGTTATGGACAACTTGCATAACTATTTATTTTTTTTATATTTCTATGCCTTATTCTCGTGATCCCGCCTTTTGAGTGTGGGAGAGCTATGCTTCGGCACGAATGGGCCGGCTCGACCGAGTGATATCACGGCCTCACAGAAAACCGACGTGAAACAACGCTTGCGATGTGTTTCGTAGTGTGAGTGAGGTCCCAGTCTTCCCAATCCTCCATAAAAGGCTGGTAAAGTGGTAATACGCTTATGACGCCTCTGTGTTTCGACTTTCGGGTGTCCATGGGCGGCGCCGATTGCTTATCATCAGGTGATCCTTCTGTTAGTTTATCGGCTTATCCCATAACAAAAAAAAAATGTTAAATTATTGCGCCTTACTTAAACAGAGACGATCCAAAAATAACCATTTTACTTTATTTATTAGAGTTATTCGTGTCACGTTCGGTTCACAATTTATTAGTAAGTACCTACGAATTATATTAAATTCGTAGAACTGTGATTCATGCAATGTGTTTGTCTAAGTACCTAAAGTATCTATGCAAGTTTTTCACAAACATCTGTGATTATTTTTATAGACGTATAAAGTTATTATTACCAGGAAATCTATATTGGTATTGTGCCTTCTTGGTAAGTAAGTGTAGTCATTTAAAACCAAAAATAAAAACAAAAGGAGAAGTTTCTCAATTTGTGCCAGGTCTTTATTTTTCTCCACGCCCTTAATGCTAACGAAAATCACACTACTAATACTTTTGTGATTATATATAGGGAACATTTTTTAAAGCTTTCCAAAACTTTGGGGCCTTAGAAAGATGGAGTCGGGGTGCAAGTCAAATATGACATTATGAGATAAATAAAAGTATGTGGATAACAAAAAAAACATAGAAGATACATAATAATATGACAGGGATACCTAAGCAAGTATTAGCCATGGCAATGTTCTGGTTTTTCTAATCCTCAGTTGATGGCAGGTGATAATTGATTCTTAGTTTGATACGCAGTATCGTTGCTAAGTCGAACTGACACGCACTATTTGCATATTAAAATTGGATACGCATACCTTGGTATGTATATATTATATATATTATATCGAGGAGTCTGTATATACTTAGATACTAGCTTAATTTAATTTAGACATAAAATTTTTAGTTATATACACAATATTATTGTATTTTAAATATTTCAGTACATTTTTAACATGACCTAGTTCAGGTTTCACATATTTTTAGGCTTTGTTTAGATATTAAAATTTATTTTGTAATCTGGCTTGTTACACCAAATAAACATTTTATTGTATTTTATTTTTTATTATATTAGGCACCTACGAATGAACCTATCGACACATAGCATAAGTTATTAATATTAGTTTGAAAACTGTCTCACCGCTTGGGTACATTGCCGGTACATCTCTTCTTATAGGGAGAAATAATGAATGAGCACATTTTTTCATAGATTAAAATTGATAATATAACATAACATCACGCCTTTTATCCTCGAAGGGGTAGGCAGAGGTGTACTTACATTATGCCACTGTATAATGTAACACCCACTTTTCACTATTTATGTTATGAGTCTCATGTAATAGGGGGTGAGTCTATTGCCATATACCGGGCACAATTCCAGACTCCGTGATACTACTGAGAATTTATAAAAAACTCAGTAATACTTTGCCCGACTGTAGTGGTACTTGCGACCACTCGGCCAATGAGGCAGTCAATTGATATAGCAGATATTATATTGTATTGATATGTGTTGTATACATAGCATATACCTATTTATCATTATATATAAAAAATATTTGTTTAACTCAAACGAATAATATCAAAATGTCATACATATTTTTTAAGCAAGTTACTTTTAAGTTTGGTATTGGTTGAGTAAAAAACTGATTAATGCAATAAAAACTTGTTTAAATGTAGTTTTGTCGATTAAGATTAACATCTATTGACTGGGTTGCTACGTAGTATGTTCCTAAATATGACATACCAATACATCAAAATTACATTTTAGTTACGTATGTTGAAATATTTGCTGTATTTTAAATCTCGAACAAGAACATAGGTTATTTTACTCTTTTTATTCCCTAATAATATAGGCAGACATGCCATAATCATTATTATCACTATCATCATCAGCCCGATTACTTTGACTGAACAAGAAGACTCTTTCGAGGAAGTGTGCCAGCTGTTAACCTGTTGAAATATCATCTTCCACAGTTCATACAAAAGTAGTCTCTTAACATCGGAAATAAGGTCTATAATGTAGTTAGTGGAGAGCGGTCACCGGTGACCGCTTGGGGATATATGGGAAGTCAGTGAGGCCCCTGAAAAATTAAAACCTTTTTTTAATGGGATAAGCCAGTAAGAGAGATGACGGATCACCTGATGGTAAGCAATCGGCGTCGCCTGGCGTCTGTGAGGCCATGGTGCCTCTCCGGTGGAGCCGGCCCATTCGTGCCGAAGCATGGCTCTCCCACACTTGCATGGCTCTCCCACTCTTTATCCTTATTATTCTTTCTATTATTCTTTTCTACCCTTATTATTCTTTTCTTATTTTCATTATAATTCTTTTCAAACAGTACTATAGCTATTTCGGGACGATAGCCAACTAAGAAATCTTGGGGATAAATGGGAAGTGTTAGTGAGGCCCCCGAAAAAAAATAATTAGAAAAAAAATAATATTGGATAAGCCAGTAAGAGAGTTGACGGATCACCTGATGGTAAGCAATTGGCGTCGCCTGGCGTCGCCCATGGACACCCGGGACATTAGGGCAAGTGCGTTACTGGCCTTTTGAAGTTAGAAATTTAAAGTTTTTGTTTGTTTGTTTACACCCTCCCTTCTTCTCCCAAGGGCTGGTTGCAATGACACGCCACTATCAGGGTTGGCCCAGGCAGAGATGTATTTAAGTAATATTGATAAACTAACGTTTCAGCGTTGTATTTTATTAGTCTCACTATAATGAAGGACTAATAAGAATTGATACTGGTTTAGAAAGTTTTATTTGTACTCCTTTCTCTCTCTCACTAGCTAGGGTCACTTTCTGTCAAACATACATATATTAGTGTTTAATATTTACCTCTACATGCCGAAACATATATTTTACATAATTAATTAATAGTTTAATGGTTTTATACAAACAGTAGGTACTATAGCTATTTCGGGACCATAGCCAGGTAAGAAATCTTGTTTACCATGCACCTATATATCTTACTCATGGTATTTCACTGCTATACCTACTATGAAGCTACTCTGAAGAAAAGGGATTGCTCACAGAATACATCTATGGGATTGCTGTCTTTGGCAGGGGGCTTGGATGGTGTAGGGATGATGTGAGTGGACGCAAAACTATTTTACTCTGCCTTCACAAAAACAACGATTACGCCAAATATAAGACCATAAAATTAAATAATTTCCATATTAGTTAAAAATAGATCAGTTTTATGGCACTATGAATAATAAATACCCATGATAAATATGGATTGTTTTGATAATTCGCAAAATTACGTACGGGGCTAAGTCTTTCTGAACTCCCATGGGTCTGGGTGTGTCATTGATGGCGAAACTCGATTTGCACTCAAAGTTAATGGCATAATCACATCAATAGCCTATAAGTGGCCACTGCTGACCAAAGACTTCTTCTCACACGGAGAACATTTGAGCATTAATCACACGCTTGCTCAATGCGGGTTGGCGATTTCAAACTTATAATTAGAAATTAAGAGTAAGTACCTATAGATAATCTTAGAAAGTAGGTACACATGAGTCGGAAAAAGTTCACACAAGCACACGCTGCCAGTTTGTAGGTGAAAAGTAGCCTAAAGTAAAATGGTGGAGGAATTTAATGGGACCCACCGATCCTGACAGTTATAGGCGGTTATTGTTGCTAATGACTGCCATACATATTATAGTCTTTAGAAAAAAAGTGATAGCGTAGTTTAAATCATGGGTTGTTAATAACAAGGCTAGTGAGCCTTCAAGGTTCGAGCCTTTAGAGCTCGAGCCTTTTAGGCTTACGAGCCCTCAGAGCTCGAGCCTTGAAGACTCAGTAGCTTCGACTCGGAGCTCTAGTTTCGTTCGGCCTCGGAGCTCATTTCTAACAACACTAGTTGTTATGTATTAACACATACTTAATATATAAAAACTACTACAGAAAAGTAAGAAACACGCAATAGGATTGAGGAAAGCACGCACGGTGACAGTGAATTGAAAATTTTAGCACCATAATAAAAATTACTGATACGTGATTTATAAAAGTTCTCCAAGTAGACAGATTACATAAGGAAATACATAGGTACCTATATAAGTGGCATAACTATGGGCAGAACGGTCACTATCAATGTTTGCTCCCTTAATTAACACAACGAATCGTCATACATAAGTAAGATCCCACATTTAGATACCGTTCATGTTGATGATAACTACGTACTTCCATATTTGGATTTCAGATTGGTTATTCCCATTTTGTCTTTATTGAATGCCTCGTGTCTCGATGGTATAGTGTTTTTGTTTTGTGAAGGTCATATGGACAGCAGAATAGTGGCCAAGTTCGTACAACTGTAACTGTAAGACAATAATAAACGGCCATTTTATTTTTGAGCGGGAATATCATCTCGTGACTTTTCCCGCCTGGGTGAGGCGAGAGGGAGTATCAGAGTCTTACTGACTAAAAACCTGATAATATTGCTTTTGTCGTGTTTGTTATCGTTAGGAGATACGACAGAGTTTATAAATTAATTATTTATCTATATTTAGCTAAATTTATTATTAGGTATAAAGTAGCGCGTTTAGATATTTGCAAGACTATGTAAGTAGCTGCCTAGCTAGCTAGCAAATAACGTACTTACATAAACTTTAGCCCCGGTGAAGATTCTGCTGTGTCATTAAATACTTGTAGATATAGCCTACTATCAACCTGTTCGAAAATGCAAACAAACGACCATCCTAATCTGACTCATGTTTTAAAAATGGCATGCTAAAAAATTTCGAAAGGTTAATTTTAAAAATGGAATTCCATAAACTTAATTTTTTTCTTTCAGACAGGCTTGTTATAGGTTCTTAGTTTAAAATGAGTAAGGAGGTTGCACTACAAACGCAACGTGACAGTAAACAAAAACACGGCCATCAAATAAAGTGTTTACAAACATTTTGTTTGGACAAATCCTGATTCATTCGAAGTGCTTTCAGCAATCACTTGGACTCTTCGTACTAAAAAGGTGTATTTAAAATAATTACTGGGTTTTTGGTGACTAACTTTAGTGTTGACAAATGTTAATGTTTAACGAATAGAGTAATTCTTTATTATAGGGTTGTTGACATCCACTTTAGGCCAAATTAAACCTAAGTGTCAACAAACCTTAGCTAGATAGGAAAACTAGCAAGACTTTTTATCACCGACATTTTTTAAAATAAAATGCAATTTTCATTTCTATAAAACATGATCTTTATCCAACAGACAAAATTGTTTGCGATGAGCCTTGAATATCTTAGCAAACCCGTATAAAAGTTTATATAAGACACAATATGCTAATTAAATACATCGTAAACAGTGAAGTGATGCATACCTTTTCTTAGTATCAGTCCGCTAGATATAACAACTGTTAAGTTGCTCAAAATGATGAGCGTCCCGATAATGTAAGCCACTGACTTGTACACCATTAACTGTTCCTTCTCAATAGTTTTGTACGCTTCATACAGATCGAACAAATGTATCTGTGACACTTCACTTTGGTTCACATTAGAAAGGTTCAAGTTAAAAAAATCCATCACTTGGTCTAATGTCACGTTGGTTTTAAAGTTTGTAATATTCGTGTCTTCTAGCTCCATGATTTCTATCGCACCATCCGGACGAGTATAAAAAATAAAATAAAGTTACGAAATATTAGCGAGCACATGTAGGTGCCGTCGGTCGTCAGTGGAGAATGACTCCGAACTCCACGGAGTCATGACGATGACACTGACTCTGGTCGAAGTTTTGTTTATTGTAATGACTTGATTTACATGTTTTATGGTTCCTTAAGAATGTTTATGTGGTCACGCGATGTTTGCAAATCGATATTATGCTTGCAGCGTTTAAGCAATCGCTTTTGGCAACCGATGGATACTTACCTATATTGTTTTTGTCATGGTATTAGAATGTAACTGGTTTATTCAGCTTTTTTTTTCGGTTTGTTTAAATTAATATTGGAGCTCTTTTTTTTCGACCGAGAACCTAGTGTCAATGTTCATTCAAGTATTATACAGAACCACTCAGAATCGGTGAAAAACCAGCTAAATTTTAGTTTCCTTCCCCTTTGTATAGGCCCATGTCCATACAGCTGTTATTGCCAATTATGTTCATTACAAGTGCTCAGTGCTTCGTCTTGAATACAAATTCGTTCAATGAGGATATTGACAAAGAAAAAAATATTTCAAGTAACTGAGTAGTTATCGAGGCTCCTGAAATCTTTACAATTTTGCCGGGCTTTGATTTCCATAATGGCGGGCAACTGTAACACGTACAATGTAAATATTTGGCAAACACTACAAAGAAAATGGCATGTCGTATTATTTGTTTTGTAAGACATATGAGGAAACTATGTAATTATAAACTAAAGACCCTATTGATAAATAGGCAAAGGTAATCACTTCTAGAAGAAGGTTTGTGAATCATAAACAAACTTATTTTGAGAACTTAGGTATGTATGCTTCGCTATTATCATAAATTGTGGTGACTGAGTGACTGAGATGCTCAAAGGATTTCCCCGAAGAACTAAGTAGATTTGAAGAAGGCTATCGTGCTCTGAATATTGAATTCAAGGGGTCAGCACCTCGCAGACACTCATGGACATTGGATGACGTCGATGCAGGTATTAATGCTCATTTATAGGTATATAGGTAGGTAAGGTAGGTATTGCTCTGTTTTTCATTATTCCTGTTTTAATAGAGGAATCGAACGTGGAAGACGGGAAGGGTGCACTGCCTGACTGAAAAACAGTGTCATATAAGTTGATGTTTAGCGACTAGCTTTTGAATGATAGGTGCATAAATAACGTAGATAATACTAGTATCTCAGTCATTGTTACCAGCCATGTTAATAGGCCATAAAGTATGTGTTTCTATGTGATTACATTTCATCAGCTTCTACACAAGTGACAATACGGTAGTTGACAGTAGTCAAATTCAATACTTTTATTGAAATGTCAAAAACGATAGATACTTTTCTATGAATTTTGTATTGGATCGCTACTCATGACGTCATTATATTTCTGCGTCAAATAGCAAACTTATTTCCATAAAATTATCGAGAAAATATTCAAAAGTAGGTAAATTGTCAAATTAATGTATGAGAGTATGATTATTTTTTAATTATTTATTGCATTGAAAAGTTGAAACAATTTATTTTAAACCTAGGAAATTGGCCAATTCCCGCTATTTCTACGATTTTCGGTAGGTTCGTATGATACACCTCGACTCAACCAAGGACCCAGTTGGTACTTATAAGAAATGTTGTTGTACAAAATTAATATATATATTCAGGCACATTGACATAGTACCTAACATACAACAGTGTAAAATGGCACGTTACCTTTGTATACACGAGGAATTGTTTTGATCATGAGGCGATTAGCAAAGAAAATGACTTCCATTATCTTCGTTAGCGATGGCGATTGACTCACAATGGACCGTTAAACCTCATCATCAAATATATGTAAATAGTCACATGATTTCTTTGGACAATACTACAGGTATCTACCTAAGGAAAAAATATTTAAACGATTGCTGGCCAGTGTAGTTGGTACAACATTTGAATGTCCAAAATTTTAATACACACAGATTTAAGTAAGTACCTAATAGAGTACCTATGCATGCTTCGATTAACAATAGCAGATGTTGATCGAAGCATGCATGTATTTATTTCATAATACAATTTATTATTTTCCTTTTCCTCGACTGGGAAAGACGACGCTTACAGTCCTACATGCATAATTATTACTAGATAGGTACGTATTCAATAAGATATGGTGGGGGCTAGTTAGTACCTACGCAATTTTCCTTGCAAATAATGTATTGCTAGACGGTAGGTCCCCTTTTCTATCCATGAGGGTTTGCGGTAATCTTCACACTTGGCGCCTGCTAAGTGTGCAAACAGTAGGTAAACTGTCGCAGTTTAGTGTTTAAAAGTGTCATGTTTTAGAGAGTGTAATTTCCCGGTTTCCGTCAAATTGATAATATAATCCCTTACGATTCTCACGTGAAGATTAGGAGTGGCGGTGATGACCGACATTTATCAGCGCCAGTCAGTCTCTATTTATTCTCAGTATGACTCTATTTATTAATTTAATCGGTCTCGGTAATCGGTAGAATTGAGTCGACGATTCCTTCGAAATAAATTCAATTATTTCCAGTAAGTAGATTGAATATAAAATTAGGAAAAGATAAACCTTCACTCAAGTCCACTCTACACAAAATTGTTTCTTACTTGGTTTCTTCAGACACAAGATAATTTAATAAAACATGTCAGACTTACTCATTGTGATGTATGCTTCGTACAACGGAACGTCAACTTTCATTCCTTTACACGTAAAAACATTAACAACTTTTCAAATTAAAATTGTCACAAATTCGAAATGGGAACATTTTCAATAAAAACTTTAAGAAATAACCAATTTTTATATTATTATTTTAATTTTATGCACAATAATAGAAAATGTAGCTCGCTTATCCCGCCTTGATGTTTGATTGATTAACAAATGTCAAGTTAGGTAGTAAAACGGAACGTACAGTAGTGTTTATTCTATTTGTGGATCTATTTATTTTAATTTTGATTTAAAATACTATTTTAATAGATAAGTGGTGTGAAAACCATGTTTAATTTATCGTTATTAAGACAATTTTCAAGGTAGGTTGTTTAGAAAGCATTCATCAATATAACCTATAAAAATATTATTATGTGATATTTTTCTGGTACATTAATGATGCTAATTTAATGATTTCATTGCAGGTTGGCAATATGTCCCGCCATAAAGATACCTATTAGCAGTAGAAACATTACAACGACTGCAGCAGTTCAATTTAAAATTACAGATCAACTATGGTGAGTTATTTTAATCTGATTCTAGATATCCTCATCAAAATAAACTTTTGTGCTGTATTCTTACCTAGATTACCGCTAATCTCGTCAGCTAAAATTAGAATACATATAGTATTCTGCATAATTTAAATTTATCGTTTGTTTTTGAATATGGTGAGTAATAGGTCAACATTGTACCTTTTAGGGCTGAACCGATGAAAAAGAAGAAGAAAATCGATCCAGCGATTGTGAAGGCTCGTGAGGAGAGGCGTCGTAAGAAATTAGAGAAACAGATCAGAAGGCTGGAGAAGAATGCTAGACAGTTGAAGCCTATTGATGAGATGGAAGTACCTCTTGAGCTGCTCGATAACTTCAGGTGAGGATTTATAATATTATTATGTTCATTATACCTTGATAACATTGTAGACTAGATTCAGTAGACAAGTACTGAAAGATGTTAAATTACAAGCAAAAGCCTAGAGGCTAGAGGTGGCCCTTCTACAAAGATATTATAGAAACTAGTTGAGTGCAGACAAGACACAATATTGAAAGATTATATTGAATGTAATGTGATGATAGGCTTAAATGTAATCATTTACTGTATATTATTATAACTTTATGTATCAACTTTGGGTCCCTGATCAGCCTAAAAAAGAGGATTAATCACAAAATATGACCATAGATATCTGCATTTTTTTACAGCAAACGAAAGAGGCCACAGCCTAAGTTGTCAGCAGAAGTGATAGAGGCCCGTGCACTTCTACAAAAGGACTGGGCGAGGTACAAGAAGGAGGAGTATATGGCAAACGTGGCTCAAGTGGATAGAATCATGGGGGCGCAGCGTAGAGCCCTGGAGAAACTGCTTGAAGAATCTGAGGATTTGTATAATGAAGCCATTATGGTTAGTATTATGAAGTGATTTGTAGGTATATTATTATTATTATTTATTGATAGCTCATTTCATTTTGTGAAGAATATTTATTAGCTTCTGGTAATTGAATGACTATTTTCACTTGCCTATTTCGATATAACATTAAAGATTTAACCTGTATAATTAAATGGAATGCCAATCGACATAAGACACAATGTGGTTTCTAGTATTATGTCTTATGATTATCTGTATTATTAAAAAAAATGCCAATCTACGTGAGACACATTGTGTTTTCTAGTATTGTGTCTTATACCGGCATTCAAATAGTTAAATCCAGAGTTGGGCAATATACTTGCAAAGTTTTTACAAATTGTCTGTAGTAGCATAGATACTTATTTTTAGGAGCTCTGCCAACACTTTCGAGAGTTTTACCTACATTTTCAGTAGTAATAGGTGTTATGTTATGTTAAGGATCATTTCTATAGTCATTTGATAGGGTAGATGACTAAGTTTTATTTTAATGTCCGTCTGGTAGATTATTTAAAAACATTATAGTCATATTTTTTGTTTTCTTACTGAAACAAATAGTTTGAAAGATATATTGATTTGAAATATCGCATGACGTCAATTTTGAGTACGATTTATACTCTAAGATGACGTAGCTAGCTGCCACTCCTAAACTTTTCCTTTTATCTGACTATTGTTTCCTTATATGACAAAATAAAAAAACACATGTCTAATATTGTTTCATTACCTAACTGATGGACTAATTAGATTTTTAATTTTCATACTGTGTCATCATCCCTATTTTAATAGTTAGTACTTCATTGATTTATTTATATAAAGGCTCAAATTAAAAGTACCCTTAACCGACGAGCATGTATGGAAAGACTGATGACTGTTGATGAACAGGAAGAGGTATGTAAGAATCAGTTAGCATTCCATAGTCACTGCCTACTCCCATAGGAGACAGGCGTGAGGTTATATATGTATGTATCATGATAAATTATTTATAATCTGTGTCTATTGTCTACAGCCTGACTTGCAGTTGATTCCTTACGAAGTGAGTGGCACAGTGGCGACACCTGCAATTAAAGACTACGCCACACCCGACGGCGAATACTTTGATGTATCTAAGAAGTGGGACAATTAGTCTACATTGTTCTTTAGATAATAATATATTAGTGTAATAAACGTTATGTTACAATTTTAAGCTTTTATTTAAATTATAAATGACTCCAACATTGCATTGGTCTAGTTACGTTGTCTATGAAGAAGGACATTGTGGAAGTTTTGATAATGTGCAGATGGGTTACATAACATTATGCCTTTTTTCCCCGAAGGGCTAGACAGAGGTGCACATTACGGCACTTAATGTAACTGTACAATGTAACAACCACTTTTCACTATTTATGTTATGAGTCCCATGTAATAGGGGATGCGCCTATTGCCATATATCGGGCACACTTTCAGACTCCGTGCTAGTACTGAGATTTTTTAATTAGGTATTAGGCAAATAAATAAATAAACAATCATCACTGCAAATCATTCTCTCTTATTAACCGTTTTTGTGCTAGGACCACATTAACTGATAACTATGAACGATAAGATCAATATTTAATGTTTCGAAATTCTCAAACTACGAATTTCTTAAACGGGAATTATGTAAAACGGAACTTTGTAATACAGCGGAGCCCGTAAATCAATACCGGTTCTACCATTTTTTTTTTAAGGGGGGAAATCATCGAACGACTGCTCCCGCCTGGGTGAGGCGGAAGGGAGTGTCAGACTCTTACTGACTAAAAACCACCCCGTTTCTTCTCCTGCACGTCGAGCCGGAGCCCCGGTTACCCGTTAGGTTAGGTTAGGTTACGCGACTCCGAATCGGCATACCGGTTCTACCATTTTTTTTTTTTTT